TCCTGCGGTCGTATAGCGGCTCGTCTCCGTTCGGGAAGCGTGCGTCCTGCGTTCGTGCCACAAAAAGTGGATACTTGGGCGTAATTCTAACTGTATTACTGCAGAAGCTTGTACAAATAAATCATGTTACTTTCAGAACCGACTATTTTGCAGTTTCATGTACCAATTGTATATGGTGTATTCAATATTGCTATAACTACAGCGAGTTGGGCCATTTCCTTTCCTGGTATAACATTCTAAACAGTTTGGATCAGTTCGACTAGAGGTGGGTTTTTTTATGAAATGGGGACAAACCTAGTGATCTAAAATAAGAATGTGACATTAACAGAAGAAGATGTACTGGTTTGTGACATTAACAGAAGAAGACGTACCGGTTTGTGACATTAACAGAAGTAGACGTACCGGTTTGTCCATATAAAAGGAAATCACAGAGGACTGATCAGATTCCATTAGCAGGTGTTAAAATGAATGTATAGGTAACGTGATATTACATTATTCTTTTATTTACCTGAATCAGGTTTCCTGTGTGTTTTCTTTGTTGCCTTCTTTGGTTCAACTCTGAAAAGAATTAAAAAAACAATCACTAAAAAAAGGAAATTGTTATGAAGAATTTAAACTCTTAATATGTGATAATAAAATTGTTTGAACTTATGGTATTGATGGACTCCTGTGAGAGGATATGTTTACATGATATATGTATACTCATATGATATTTTACATGATGTATATGTGAAGACAAAAATAAAAAAAAAATAAAAAAAACATACTTGCATCAAATATTACACTTCTAATTCCCACATATTTTGATGCAGCAATATTTTCATCATTTTACTTTTGAGAAAAAATGTCAATGGTAATGGTTTTGTTCAAGGAGGGAGGAATGTAAGTAGCAGAACTATTTTACCAGGGCGACATATAATAGTCAATATTATTATACCTCTACTGAGTTTTCCCTATATAAAAACAATGCTATTTCCCTTATTAAATCACTTAAATATCTCCATCTGAGATCTACTCCCTCCCCAAATTAGGACTACTCCCTGCATAAAAAGGACAACTCCCTGCCAGAAAGAGGACTACTCCCTCATGAATATTTGTAGGTGGAGCTTATAAGATTTCAACCAATGAAAACATTGGTAGGCAGGGCCTTCTCCGTGACGCTTGTGACGTCACATTTTCAGAACCAAAAAAAACCAGTGAAAATGGCCACCGATGAAGGCCGTTTTGTTGTTGTAAAGAGGAGTTACAGCAGATTTTGGATGCTAAACGTAACGTAGCTTAAATACAAAAGCTGTTATAAAGACTGCAGTGAATTCACTTCAAACTTATTCAACAGAACGAAATGCCGGAAGCGTCGACGAGTATGGTCATGCAAGCTCTTTTAAAACAAAGTGGATAGGACTAGATCTAGATATGGTAGGAATACAATGGTGACGATGAGATTCAGTCTATAAAAAACACTTCTTGAATGCTAGAAATGAAGTTATCATCAACGACGATGCATACAGTACTTCCAATTGTATTTTTTTCTCTTTCAGTCTTTGAAATTGTAAAAGGAAATGAATAAATAAATCCATTTGTTAAATTGCCTTTACTGGGTGAATAATTTGTTTCGTTATAAAACAGTTATAGAATGGGTAATTCGGGAAATGGCAAATTTATGGTCCCCCTTGGTGAAAAACTATTCCCCTCAACGGCTTCGCCGCCTCGGGAAATAGTTTTTCACCTCGGGGGACCATAAATGTGATATTTCCCTCATACCCATTCTATAACTGTATACTATTATCTAAGTGTACTGGTGAAATGTACGTAGGGCAATAGATATACTAATTAGCCTCAGTAAATCAATCTCCATAAGCTTGGAGCATGTTGCTATTCAGTCAAAGAATCTGAATCTGAGTTAACCATTTATGAAATGTCGGTCACATATAACTACAGACATAGATACACGAGCTGTCAGTGTAGTGTATAACAAGGAAAACTCACTTCTTCTTCTGAGGAGGAGGAGAGGAATCGTCTTTCTTCTCTGTTTTGATGACCGGTTTCGACTCCTGTTTGGTTTCTTCTCTAGCGGACTGTTCCGGTTTCTTATCTACAATTCACATCAAAATCTCATCTGTTACAAAAATAACGCCATCTGTTCATTAAAGCTGTTCCATTGTTTAGTCAGAGAGTAAGGTTTATTATACATACGTACGTATAGTCACTCTTCAGTTATGTGATGTTATATCACTGCTCACATGGTACACAAATCAAATTACAGGGAAGAGATATCAATTGTGCAAGAATAAGTTGCACACCACTGATGACCAAATCAACGTGCTTCTTGCTCATAATGCTGGTTGTTTTTTGTACGATTTTGCCATAGATCAAAACAGTGGCATATATCCAAGATGGCGGACATTTGTGAACAGGGGGTATACTCGCAATTAAGCCCCCTCCCTCCTTTCGGTCAATTTGTTTTTACTAGGGGTAGGGGACTATGTGTAGTTAAATACGGTAAAGACGCGACCAGGGCAGGGTAGCACGACACCACCACGTCTGGTCCCGTTATTCCAACAACAGGTTAACCAGACGTGCCTCGTGTTACAGCGAGGGTAGAGGGTCACTGAATGGGATACAGGAGACTTATATAATGCCCCAAACCTTCCCCTGGGAACTCTCCTCACTTTTTGTTCATCTCACATCAAAAGGTATATCAAGTTAGTTTTACTGGAAACAGTCCATCCCGTTTATGACAGCATACGATCATAATTTTCTAAACACAATATATTACCGATAGCAACGTTTTACCACTCTGGATTATATCTCTCTTTAAGACTTTACACAAGTATAACACATCTGATGAAAATATCCAAATATCCAGAATACCCAAAATATCCACCATCATTACCTGTTTGTTTTGAGAAGAAAGACATCATCCCTCCCTTCTTAGCTGCTGTGCCGCTCTGTTAATACAATTAAAATGTTAACAACTAAATTATTTATATTTTTTGATTTCTGAGATACTGTCATTTTTCAAATGTTTTATGTGTTCTTTTTTTAGCAGCCTGAACAAATCTGCAAAATATCACTCCTGTGAATTCAGACAGAAACATAGTGAGACATATTGACTGTAAGTGCTGTAGGAAATTGAACTCTATGAAATCAATACTGTGAAAACATATCTCCATGAAATTAAAACCCTTTTTACCACAGCTGATGTCTGGAAATCATTTCATTTGTACAATAGACCTGTAACATCACATGGGACACCTATGAATTGGCAGTCTGCTCTTCAGAAAAAGCCACAAGACACTCTTTTCTCTCAATTTCATGATTTAATCTAATCACTCCCCAAAACACCATACAGGATAACTATGTTTCAAGTTTTTCATTATTTTTATTAATCTTTCGAGACTTTTCCACCAGTTTTGAGAGAAATACAGTGACGGAGACCAAAGGTATTGTTAAACTCAGTGCCCAGCAAACAAATAAACCAAATATACTCCCGTAAACTACACTTTAAATGAATAGGTGTATTAAAGCAAGGGATGTGAGTTTACCGAGGAATGATAAACAGACCTTTTCCGGTTTGTTTTCCTTTACTTCCTTTTCTTGTTTCGGTTCCTCCTTTTTGTTCTCAGGTTTCTTAGCTGCCTTGGCAAACATTCCAGCGATGCCGGCTTTCTGCTGCGGCTTGGCAGCTGGTTTACTCTGCCCATTTGTGGTAGAGGTGCCATTTGTCTGGAATCAAACGAACCTCGAGTAAGTATTCAGTATAGAATGATGATGTGTTTCATTCATAAAAGCCATGGCAAGAACACGAAGGAAACTGTTTTCTACTTCTAAATCAATTTTTGTTCAGAAGGAGGATTGAACACAATTAAATTCAAAGATAATGACAATGACCTTGAACTTCTCAGTCATGGAGAATGTCTGGTCTAAAACAAAAGTGCCTTCCCTCTACCAAACCTTTAACCAGTCAAAGACTCAAGTTGGGTATCTGTAATTTAATGATCGATCATCAGATACCCTTAACTATTAAACCAAGGATTGATATAAAAATCACTTTATAGAAATGCACTGTGACTTTTCATATATTTTTCCTCATTAATCAAAACAGTCACCAGCAGGGATATGGACTTGTAATCCTGACTTTCATGAACTAAACAGAAAACTCCACTTGATCTACTCACTATTATTGTGATGAAACTTAATCATGATTTCTGCAGTCAATCAATCAGATTAATTAACCACTACTTGATCAGCTGATTAACTGGAACTACTAAAGACTGTGAAAACAAACAGAGACAATGCAACAGAAAGATGATTTTTTCTACATTACAGTACATAGTCCACGATTGTACTTAAATCACTGTTTTGTAAATAAACTGCTGTATATAACATTAACAACTGGAATGTCATCGTTATACTTGGCTTCACATTTCCTGCCTGTACAAACTTCTGAACACTCTATGTAGATCTTGGACAAGGATTTGGGTTTACATCAGAAAGACTTCCTTTCGAATCACCTACGCCTGCCCTGTATATGTTATCGTTGAGCCATCTAACCTTGATTTGCTTGTTCGTTTCTGTTGTTTGTGGGACAGAAGTTTTACATAGTGACTCAATCTCTGCTCCAGATCTTAATTTTGCCTTTGCAAATTTGATAGAGGTGTATCTGTAAATTGTAAGAAATATTTATGAATTAGAAAAATCTTACAATGTAATGGGATATCCATATATCACACATATTTTACAACTTCAAAAGCATTAACAACTTGACAGGGTGTTGATCACATCAGAAAGTAGCATACTTCAGACAAACAAGAGGCCCAATGGGCCTGAATCGCTCACCTGCAGGTATTAATCTCACACTTGTAATCTTAAAAGTGGACGAAAATACACCTACAGACAGAATATCAGTGTTTGATTCATAAGAACCTATTAAAAGATTTAAACATATGACACCTGTGACCTTGAACAACGAACAAGGACATTAGGTTGAACAGAGTTTATAGTCTTCCAATCCAGCATGCTTCTAGCAAAATATCATTACCCTGGACATTTTGGTTATACAGAACAAATCATTTAAAGATTTAAACATATATTGACCACTGTGACCTTGAATATGGGGGAAGGTCATTCATTTGAGCAAACTTGGCAGCCCTTCATCCCAGCATGTTACTGGCCAAATATCCTCACCCTTGGCCTTTTGATTAAGAAGAAGTCATTCCAAAGATTTAAACATATTTGACCCCTGTGACCTTGAATATATGTCAAGGGCATTCATTTGAACAAACTTGGTAGCCCTTCATCCGAGCATGTTACTGGCCAAATATCCTCACCCTTGGCCTTTTGATTATTAAGAAGAAGTCATTCCAAAGTTTTAAACATATTTGACCCCTGTGACCTTGAATATATGTCAAGGTCATTCATTTGAACAAACTTTGTAGCCCTTCATCCCAGCATGTTACTGGCCAAATATCATCACCTTAGGCCTCTTGGTTATTCAGAAGTTGTTTAAATGTTTTTAACATATTTGACCCTAGTGACCTTGAATATAAGTCAAGGTCATTTATTTGAACAAACTTGGTAGCCCTTCATCCCAGCATGTTACTGGCCAAATATCATCACCTTAGGCCTCTTGGTTATTCAGAAGTTGTTTAAATGTTTTTAACATATTTGACCCTAGTGACCTTGAATATAAGTCAAGGTCATTTATTTGAACAAACTTGGTAGCCCTTCATCCCAGCATGTTACTGGCCAAATATCATCACCTTAGGCCTCTTGGTTATTCAGAAGTTGTTTAAATGTTTTTAACATATTTGATCCTAGTGACCTTGAATATAAGTCAAGGTCATTTATTTGAACAAACTTGGTAGCCCTTCATCCCAGCATGTTACTGGCCAAATATCATCACCCTAGGACTCTTGGTTATTCAGAAGAAGTTGTTTAAAGATTTTAACATATTTGACCCCTGTGACCTTGAAAATGGATGAAGGTCATTTATTTGAACAACTTGGTAGCCCTTCATCCCAGCATGCTTCTGGCCAAATATCATCACCCTAGGCCTTTTGGTTACTGAGAAGAGGTTGTTTAAAGTAAAAAGTTGACGCCGGACGGACGCCGGACTCCGCACCATGCCATAAGCTCACTTGGCCCTTCGGGCTAGGTGAGCTAACAAAAACTGGATTTCCCCTAGGTCTATTTTTAGTTACAGTAACTGTGACCTTAGAAACTTTTTAAACCCCCTTTTGCACATCTACGTATCGCTGTATCATTATCTATTTTTAGTAAAAGTGACTTTGACCTTGGAAACCTTTTAAACCCCTCTATGCACATCTGCGTATCACAGTGTATCACTATATATCACTATGTCAAACAGAAAGATGAGTCTTTTGCATTCCGAGATAAGCATTGTACTTCCCACGGTCTATTTTCAGTAACAGTGGCCTTGACCTTGACCTTGGAAAAGTTTTAAATCCTTATTGCACATCTACATTTAAAAGTGTATAACCATGTCTTTCAGAAATATCAGTCTTTGGGATTCTGAGCAATTCTCTGGAAATGAAAGTGTGGATGGATGGACAGACAGAAAAACACCATGAATTTGGCAGCTGCATCTGCAATGCGGGGCTCTAATGACCCCGAGTAAGACCTGAACTTACTTGCTGGATTCCTTGATAGCATCATACTCTGCTGTGTACAGGGCACACGAATCCTGTGTGAAACAAAAATAACACAATTAGAATTACAAATGTTTAAATTAGATATATATACCCACTCTCACTGGAATCAAAATGGAGCTAATTGCAAAGTCTTACCAAAGTTAAGAATGGAGCTAAATACAAAGTCTTACCTCAGTTAAGACTGGAACTTGTGACGACAGCCAGGGTACTACGGTAAGTCTCTTACCTTGAGGTTAGCCCTCTGTACTCTGTATATATGAGAACTTGTAATGACAGCCAGGGTAGTACGGTAAGTCTCTTACCTTGAGGTTAGCCCTCTGTACACTGTATATATGGGAACTTGTAATGACAGCCAGGGTAGTACGGTATGTCTCTTACCTTGAGGTTAGCCCTCTGTACACTGTATATATGAGAACTTGTGACGACAGGGTACTACGGCAAGTCTCTGTACCTTGAGGTTAGCCCTCTGTACACTGTATATATGAGAACTTGTGACGACAGCCAGGGAACTAAGGTAAGTCTCTTACCTTGAGGTTAGCCCTCTGTACTCTGTATATATGAGAACTTGTAATGACAGCCAGGGTAGTACGGGAAGTCTCTTACCTTGAGGTTAGCCCTCTGTACTCTGTATATATGAGAACTTGTAATGACAGCCAGGGTATTACGGTAAGTCTCTTACCTTGAGGTTAGCCCTCTGTACACTGTATATATGAGAACTTGTGATGACAGACAGGGTACTACGGCAAGTCTCTAACCTTGAGGTTAGCCCTCTGTACACTGTATATATGAGAACTTGTGATGACAGACAGGGTACTACGGTAAGTCTCTTACCTTGAGGTTAGCCCTCTGTACACTGTATATATGAGAACTTGTGATGACAGACAGGGTACTACGGTAAGTCTCTTACCTTGAGGTTAGCCCTCTGTACACTGTATATATGAGAACTTGTGATGACAGACAGGGTACTACGGTAAGTCTCTTACCTTGAGGTTAGCCCTCTGTACACTGTATATATGAGAACTTGTGATGACAGACAGGGTACTACGGTAAGTCTCTTACCTTGAGGTTAGCCCTCTGTACACTGTATATATGAGAACTTGTGATGACAGCCAGGGTACTACGGTAAGTCTCTTACCTTGAGGTTAGCCCTCTGTACACTGTATATATGAGAACTTGTGATGACAGCCAGGGTACTACGGTAAGTCTCTTACCTTGAGGTTAGCCCTCTGTACACTGTATATATGAGAACTTGTGATGACAGCCAGGGTACTACGGTAAGTCTCTTACCTTGAGGTTAGCCCTCTGTACACTGTATATATGAGAACTTGTGATGACAGCCAGGGTACTACGGTAAGTCTCTTACCTTGAGGTTAGCCCTCTGTACACTGTATATATGAGAACTTGTGACGACAGCCAGGGTACTACGGTAAGTCTCTTACCTTGAGGTTAGCCCTCTGTACACTGTATATATGAGAACTTGTGACGACAGCCAGGGTACTACGGTAAGTCTCTTACCTTGAGGTTAGCCCTCTGTACACTGTATATATGAGAACTTGTGACGACAGCCAGGGTACTACGGTAAGTCTCTTACCTTGAGGTTAGCCCTCTGTACACTGTATATATGAGAACTTGTGACGACAGCCAGGGTACTACGGTAAGTCTCTTACCTTGAGGTTAGCCCTCTGTACACTGTATATATGAGAACTTGTGACGACAGCCAGGGTACTACGGTAAGTCTCTTACCTTGAGGTTAGCCCTCTGTACACTGTATATATGAGAACTTGTGACGACAGCCAGGGTACTACGGTAAGTCTCTTACCTTGAGGTTAGCCCTCTGTACACTGTATATATGAGAACTTGTGACGACAGCCAGGGTACTACGGTAAGTCTCTTACCTTGAGGTTAGCCCTCTGTACACTGTATATATGAGAACTTGTGATGACAGCCAGGGTACTACGGTAAGTCTCTTACCTTGAGGTTAGCCCTCTGTACACTGTATATATGAGAACTTGTGATGACAGCCAGGGTACTACGGTAAGTCTCTTACCTTGAGGTTAGCCCTCTGTACACTGTATATATGAGAACTTGTGATGACAGCCAGGGTACTACGGTAAGTCTCTTACCTTGAGGTTAGCCCTCTGTACACTGTATATATGAGAACTTGTGATGACAGCCAGGGTACTACGGTAAGTCTCTTACCTTGAGGTTAGCCCTCTGTACACTGTATATATGAGAACTTGTGATGACAGCCAGGGTACTACGGTAAGTCTCTTACCTTGAGGTTAGCCCTCTGTACACTGTATATATGAGAACTTGTGATGACAGCCAGGGTACTACGGTAAGTCTCTTACCTTGAGGTTAGCCCTCTGTACACTGTATATATGAGAACTTGTGATGACAGCCAGGGTACTACGGTAAGTCTCTTACCTTGAGGTTAGCCCTCTGTACACTGTATATATGAGAACTTGTGACGACAGCCAGGGTACTACGGTAAGTCTCTTACCTTGAGGTTAGCCCTCTGTACACTGTATATATGAGAACTTGTGATGACAGCCAGGGTACTACGGTAAGTCTCTTACCTTGAGGTTAGCCCTCTGTACACTGTATATATGAGAACTTGTGACGACAGCCAGGGTACTACGGTAAGTCTCTTACCTTGAGGTTAGCCCTCTGTACACTGTATATATGAGAACTTGTGACGACAGCCAGGGTACTACGGTAAGTCTCTTACCTTGAGGTTAGCCCTCTGTACACTGTATATATGAGAACTTGTGATGACAGCCAGGGTACTACGGTAAGTCTCTTACCTTGAGGTTAGCCCTCTGTACACTGTATATATGAGAACTTGTGACGACAGCCAGGGTACTACGGTAAGTCTCTTACCTTGAGGTTAGCCCTCTGTACACTGTATATATGAGAACTTGTGACGACAGCCAGGGTACTACGGTCAGTCTCTTACCTTGAGGTTAGCCCTCTGTACACTGTATATATGGGAACTTGTGACGACAGACAGGGTACTACGGTAAGCCTCTAAGTCCTCCTCCTTCACTACTGTACATTTGTGAGTCTGCTGACAAACAAATTCTTTATACACATACAAACCCACATTTACTTTCAGTTCACTGTTTGTTTGATAGAAAAGTTAATATATCAGACATTCTAAACATCAAAACACTTATAATAATTTTACAAATACATAAAATGTACATGAATTAAGATATTTTTTTCTGATTTGAACTTATTACAAAGAACTCAAAACTTGCCTTACAACATATGACAGTTTTTGGTTAATACATAAAATGAAAGCTTTATTTATTTTACAACAATGTGAAACAAGGTTTACCCTCACGGTTGTTGACCCAGATAGATGCACACAGGGGGTCTCTGTGTGGGAGGAAACTAACTACCTAAATGGCTGGTCAGATGACCCAATACTTTTTCACATTCGATATTAAAACCCTGGCCATCTTGGTGAAAGGTGAGCGCACTACCTGCTGCACCACCCGACCATGGACATTGTTTTCTTCAGCATTGATCAATCAGAAGTTATAAGGATGGATTACTAATAACAGTGTGATTCCCATTCATGAAATCGTAGAAGATGAACACAATGATATGAAGAAAGCTTTCCAGCAAGTAGATGAAACACAAGTCCTGATTGTCCGTATTCAAAAATACATTTCTGATGCTTAAACTTTTGTTATGTGTTCAACATACTTGCCAACTCCCCCCTATTTCGGAGGGAGACTCCCGATTTTCGACCCTTAAATCTAGCATTTTCACCCAGTGAATTTGCTAAACTATTTCTATTTACTAAGTTCTGATGATTTCATCTGAAAGAACAGCTCAAAAGATGCCATTTTTAAGCGTGATTTTGTCCCTAGGGTGTACATGTAAATTTTATTTATGCTTTTAATTCTGACCATACTTAATCTCCCCATTGCATTTCAAAAAGTTGGCATGCATGATTCAAACCCATTTTTTTTCTGAGACTTATGGAGTTCTTGTGACATAGGATGAAAAAGCAGCATGGAAATGATTACAAGCTACATGTTAGGACAAAGTATGGAATTTAGGATAATTAGGAATACAGCCTCAGCTCAGAAACTGTACAAGAACAGTTTATGAACATGGCTGCAGTCTAATGGAGAAAATTTGGCAGGACATAAACATTACAGTTAAAGTGATCATATAGATATAACAATTAACACCTGTCTATTGTATTAATTACCTGATGACCATTCACTGGTTTGGTCAGTCCAGCCACAAAGTAGGTCACAGATAGGTTGTCATTATCATGGTTGTTCCTCTGGTCCTGAACAAATGCATACAGCATCCTGTAAGGGAAGAAACATACGAGATAGTTGGCACATTATTCAAAAGACATTGCAAGGAGTAAAAGGAGGTACAACCTCGATGGTTTGATACTTTTAATATAACATATAAAATTTGGCCTTGAATAGGGATTTTCCAAGACATAATTCGCTACCCTTTACCGGTAATTATGTAATGTTCCCTTTGAAAAACAGTAGTTTTCCCCTTGGAAAAATGGTGAGTATTCCCCTGAAAAAACGGTAATATTCCCCTTAATCACTTAAAAAGGTACAAAATGCACGGCCAGAGCAGGGTTCGAACTCTGGATGGTCTTTACTCTAGACAGATGCTCTACTAATAGAACTACCTGGTCGCTGACGATCAACCCAACTTAATTCTGCTAAAAACGGACTGAATTTAATTGTGCACGACCACATTAAATCTCCGCATAGATCTCCATGACTAGGCGTATATGTAAAGATCTTTTCACAATTTCTGACTAAGGTTCTTTTCTCAACACAGTTAAACAAACATGCTGACATCTTACTGTTTGGCCTGGTTGACATGGACTTTCAAGTTGGTACTGAACCATCTGTATGTTACCTGTAGGGGGAAAAGAACATTTAATGAGAATTAAACAAGTCTTTCAGGATGATATTTGGGGATTTAATACAGTGTAGACAGTAGATATTCAGTGGACACTCAGTTTCACGGCATGTTAATTTTGGCAGTGACCAAATTTAGTTCATTAAACATAGCAGAAGGAAGATCGATGAATGACCCCAACAAAACCAAGAGTATATATGTAGCGGGGACGTTATAATGTATATGCGGGTTCATCGACAGTGTTAATATAAGCTGACAGTGTAAGCTGACAGGTTTTAAGCTTAATTCTACGGCATGGCTGTATGTTGTGTCTTTAGTCTGTACTACGTGTACCTGTACATGTGTCACCCTGACCTTTCTTGTATACGTTGTTCTCTGTTAACGTGTCCTGTCTGAGGTCTATGTTTTTGTCATGCATTGTCCGTAGTTGATTGCTTTTACGTCCGTTGTATCTGTGTGCTTCTGAGAATCCTCTGTTGTGATTGGTCCTTAATTTAGTTTCGTATTGTCAAATGTGGGAAAAATTCGGGCTGGTGTCTCATACACGGGGCTAGCTGCGATAACGTAGCTTTCTGACGACGAGAGATTTTTTTATATATTGCGTCGTCACAGCTTCGAAGCGGTCCTATACCAACTAATGGAGCAAAATCAAAAGTGTTAATCTGTAAGATTGCATATAATTCACGCTCATATGCGTATAATGTTATCAAAATATTGCATAATTGTTGAAAAAACGAATCCTTACTCATGCAAAAACACTTTTACGAAATTAACAAAGTCTGTCTTGTATCTCAATTATCCTTTCTATATATGGCCTGCATGGCCAAATATAGTATTACTACTGATGCCGCCATGTTTACTACAATTTCCATATTGGGTCATGACACCTATATTTGGACGTCTGACCTCTATCGGAAGAGAGACGAACTTTCCAACATGGCGGTCAATTCAGATTTCGATTACACTTGCTACGTTAACTTGATAATTTAACGACATTTTAGGCAGAGTTAAACTTCAAGTTGTGCAGGATATCAACAGAAATAGTTCATACTACAACCTTATTTATAGATGCGGACCAATGTGCTGTCAATTAATTCTTAAATCGCCCCGGTGTGATTCACACCGGCCTTGCTCCATTACAAGGCATGGTATCGATTTAATACCCGGCCGAGGCAGAGGAGGCCGGGTATTAATATTAGTACTAACACGGAGCAGTCGGATGGATTAGGTTCCTGTGCACTGTCACATCTTTTCATCAGGTATATTTAGGGTTAGTTTAGGATTTTTAGATAGGGACTTAGCTGGGATGTGTGGGTTAGCGTTAGTTTTGAAATATAGTTAGGTCGAAGGTAGTACGGGGGGTCTACATGTAGTGTACATGTATGTAGGGGAGTATTCGCTATATGTTAATAGCTAGGGCCAGGCTATTGTAATTGTTTTCTATGTATCTTGTGTTGTAAATATCTATGTTGTAAATGATGAATTGTTAGTTGTATTTCAAGGCGTTTGTTTTCCCGCTACGACAGTTACAAGTTACCCATCGAACCTGGGTTGGTCTGCAGGGCGAGTCGGGTGCAGTGAGTTAGACGTAAGTTGACAAACTGGGTCCAAACACGCTCCTGTTACATGTATATACATTCCTTATTTGAACAAAATAAACCTTTAAACTCATAAAAGTTGTAGTTCCGGAAACAAAACCAAAATAAAAATTCGAACTTACTATTTTGTTTTCGTCATTGACGTATTCCTCTAAATTTTCGAGATAAAGTGTATCTGTCGCCATTTTTTTATTTCCCGCTATAATCAGCACTTCCGGTTCTACTTTCGTTTTCGAAACATCTCCATTGTATTCGATTTTAGGACGTAAAATAATAGACATCAAGGATTTGCACAATTTCTGACATTTCAAAAATAAGAAAAACGACTCCGTTGAGATTCTTGTATAACATATGTCTAATTTATAAATAACTAAAACACGGGATGACGCACGAGAGTTCAAAATGTAAACTAACATGGCGGAAAGAGAGCAAGTTTCTTAATTTTGTCAACTGACTTTTACTGATTTTGAGGTCATGGCAAACGAGGATGCTGTCAGGGCCACAAACGACGATGCAGCTCAGTGTAAACGTTTTGCTGTGGAACGTGGGTACTGGGAAGATCCTTATATTTCTCTATTAACAACAAAAGGCCAGGCAAGACATGCACCCGAGATCAACAGGGGTTACTATGCCAGGGTGTCGGCTATGCGAACATGCATTCAGAGGTTCATAAAAGTACGTTCGTCTTAAAGACTCTAAAAATTAAGCTGTTTGAGTATATGGTCATTAATTCTATGCTGTGGATGTCTTCAATATTAGTCAGGTTGGGAACTAATCTTCTAGTTGCAACACAGAAAGCTGTGCCATGCCTTGCAAGAAGTGTCTGAGCTTATATTGGGTGATGCAGCATCTTTAGTCCATCTGTCATCTGTCAATATTTTTAAAGTCAACTTTTTTTAAATAAAAAATTTCATAAGAACCATATTTAGCTCTGAAGATGTGTCTTTCTGACGACGATTTTTTTTTATATATAATTGCGTCGTCAGAGCTATGAAGCGGTTCTATGCCAACTAATGGAGCAAAATCAAAAGTGCTAATATGTAAAAATACATATAATTCACGCCTCATATGAGTATAATGTTATCAAAATATTGCATAATTGTTGAAAAATGAATCCTTACCAATGAAAGAAAATCTTTAACAAAATTAACCAAGTCTGTCTTGGGGAAGAAAAAAAGAAACAACTGCCATGACAGATCACGCTTGATGTTATCTCAATTATCCTTTCTATATATGGCCAAATATAGTATTACTACTGATGACGCCATGTTTACTACAATTTCCATATTGGGTCATGGGTCATATAGACGTCTGACCTATATCGGAAGATAGACAAACTTTCAAACATGGTGGTAAATTCAGATTTCGATTGCGCTTACAAAGTTAACTTGATAGCTAAACGACATTTTAGGCAGAGTTTAACTTCAAGTTATATAGGGTATCAACAGAAATAGTTCATACTACAACCCTATTTATGGATGCGTACCAGTTTGCTGTCAATTAATTCTAAAATCGGCCCGGTGTGATTCACACCGGGCTAGCTTGCTCCATTACAAGGCACGGAATTGATTTAATACCCCGCCGGGGCAGAGGATGCCGGATATTGAAATTAGTACTAGGTAATTATATTATGATGCTTGGTAGCCTGAGTTTCCTCTGTCCTAGCCCGAGTTTCCTCAGCCCCTGACACTAGACTTGGATATTTGGACAGATAGTCTGGTGTGGGGCGAGAGGGCACTACTTTATATGAAAATGGGGAATTCTCCAACACCATGTGGTATCAGAGTTTTGAGGTGCTGATAATAAAAATGTACTATGACACAACACATATACCTCACATATATGGATAAATGGGTTATTTATTGATCCATATCCATCATTATTATCAACAGCAGCTGCTACATTCCATCAATAGAGTTTCCAGATTTCAATCGTTTAAAAATTCCCATCTTGTAGGTTATGCAAATTACATGGGAGTGACCAATCGACAAAGAGAGGTGGTCCAGAAATCTTCTAAATAAGAAAAATACATTCTGTTGGTACAGTCCGAATCAGTACGGTTTGTTGATATGTCAGTCCCATGCACAGATTTCCATTTTTCATACATGAATAACATCATTTTGTAGATTGAATGCAAAAAATGTGGTGCAATGAATCGATGAAACATGTCAGTTTCTTATTTTTATGCTTTACAGTACATTTGACAAGCGTTTCATTCCATTAAGTTCATTTCATGAAGTACATTTCAATTGTATTTTTGCAGCTAACTGACTGCAAGTGTCAAATTATAAACTTAGGAGCAGGATTTGATACAACATACTGGCTACTGAAAGATCAGCAGTTGTCACCAAAGAATTACGTCGAAGTCGATTTTGCAATGGTGACCTCTAGAAAGTGCCATCAGATCCGAAGGAATGAGATGTTGCTGAAGTCAATTGCCGGAGAAGGTAAATATCACAGAGGAGTCTCAATAATGTAGGTACCATCCAGGTAATCAGCTAGTGATATCACAGAGGAGTCTCAGTAATGTAGGTACCATCCAGGTAATCAGCTAGTGATATCACAGAGGAGTCTCAGTAATGTAGGTACCATCCAGGTAATCAGCTAGTGATATTACTTTCAGAGTTATAGATGCCAGCATATGATAACAGTTTACTGGGAAACTTTCTTCCAGTCAAATATTTACCTTTCTGTTTGCTATTTGCCAAGTGTTTTATTCACCCTTCACATGAAACTTTTAATATGGAATACTGGGTTTTATTTGCTTTCGTAATATTGCTTTCGTAACCCTCATTACAGACAGCTAAAAAAGACTGCAGATAAACCTCATATTATTCAGTTGAAATAATTTTAAAATCATCTCAGATTCAAAGATTCAAATTTCATCTTTGAATGTGTTGCAGATTTTAATTGTACATCGGATTATGGTCGCCTTCTAGCTTCGAGCTAGAGGGAATTTCCCTTTAGCTCAGTGGTAGAGCGTCTGACTAGGAACCTGAAGATCGAGGGTTCGATCCCTGGTGGAAGCACATTATTCTCTTTCCTGTTACAAGTGTTTTTAGTGTTATGAATCTTAGTATATCCTTTGTGTTATGTAGATGGAGAGGTCAAGATGAGTAAGACAGAAATCCATGCCACAGATTACCACCTGGTGTCGGCTAACCTGCGTAGCCTGGAGGAAGTGAAAGGAAAGCTGACAGAGAGTGGCATTGACACAGCCCTCCCCACCTTGTTTGTGACCGAGTGTGTCCTTGTCTACGTCGACACAGAGAGCACCAACAAAGTCCTCAAGTGGATCGCAGACTCCTTCCCTGTGGCCCTTTTCCTTAACTATGAACAGGTGGACATTTTAAGGACTCGTTCTGATAAAGCAACATGGCATCGGCTCAAATTTTCTATTGTAAAGATGATATTAATATACACGGATGTACTCATTATTTCATTTTTCTGCTTTCCTGTTAAGAATTTTAGAACTTTTAACACTAAACAAATAGCTTTTAATGCTTTATTTATTGTAAAGCTCTGACATAAAGTGCCGCTGCTATGTTATGCAGTATTGATTAATGATAATGTAACAATTTTGTACCTGTATTCCTGAACATGAGATCAATACTCAACCGAGTTCACGCCGATATTTAACAGCAATTGATAGTGTTAGAAATTGTCAAGGATGCATAGAAGAACCGTGATAAGGGATTTTCTTATATTAAGTATATAGAAATTCATCCTAATTCCATATAACATTTTTTCCCCTTATCTATATTATGTATTAGCATTTTTATACGACCGTCAAATTTGACGGTAGTATTATGGTATGGCGTTGTCCGTCCATCCATCCGGCGTAAACTTTGTTTGTCCGGCAATGTCCTACATTTTTCGACCGATCTATTTTGAAATTTGGTATATATTATAATCGTGATATGAAGTTGTGTCTCCTTTAAAAGAATCTTGATTTGACAATTTTTCCAAAAGTTATTGCCCTTTGTTTATTTCAGTATTTGATTTTTGTCCGGCAACCTCCTCCTACATTTTTCAGCCGATCTCTTTGAAACTTAGTATACTTTATAATCATGATATGAGTTTGTGTCCCCCTCAAAAGAATTTTGATTCGACGATTTGCAAAATTTATTGCCCTTTGTTTATTTCAGTATTTGATTTTTGTCCGATACATTTTTTAAAGCATATCAGCTAACCACTCTTAGAATGATGCAGATCTTATTTCATTGTAAGGAAGTATATATATTGCATTCGACAGGCGTATTTTGTTCCGCCCCGCGGTACTCTTGTTATTACATTTAATAACAAGTTAATAATGAAAGCTGAACTGTGGATGATCTGGAAACATGATTGTTACATGGTAGGTGTTGTTATTTAGCATATCTGTCTTTCCAGGTAAACATGACCGATCGTTTTGGCCAGGTCATGATAGATAATCTGAAGACGAGGGATTGTGTTCTAATGGGTGTGGAGGCGTGTACCAGCATGGACTCGCAGAAACACAGGTAAACATACCTACGGGTAACGGGGTTGCTAGTGTCTGATGACGAAAGTGGATAAATTTTAAACTTTTATGAAATAGATATTATTACTAAAGGAAGAAATTAAATTCTAGGAGGTAATTTCTGGTACGTATATGACCGAATTTAATTGTATGTGAAATTATTGCCACCTTCTAGCTTTGCACTATAGGGAGTTTTCGCCAAATTGATAGAGCAGTGGCCTGGCAACCTGGCCGTCACTAGTTGATCCCCTTTGGAGGCACAACACTCTCTTTCCTGTAACAAAATAATGGTGTCCCTGGCCCTCCCTGTCGTGATACTGCCAAAGTTGGATGCCGGGGGTCACTGGTTGATCCCCATTTGGAGGCACAACACTCTCTTTCCTGTAACAAAATAATGATGTCCCTGGCCCTCCCTGTGGTGATACTGCCAAAGTTGGATGCTGGGAGTCACGTACTAGTTGATCCCCATTGGAGGCACACTACTCTCTTTCCTGTAACAAAATAATGGTGTCCCTGGCCCTCCCTGTGGTGATACTGCCAAAGTTGGATGCTGGGAGTCACGTACTAGTTGATCCCCATTGGAGGCACACTACTCTCTTTCCTGTAACAAAATAATGGTGTCCCTGGCCCTCCCTGTCGTGATACTGCCAAAGTTGGATGCCGGGGGTCACTAGTTGATCCCCATTGGAGGCACAACACTCTCTTTCCTGTAACAAAATAATGGTGTCCCTGGCCCTCCCTGTCGTGATACTGCCAAAGTAAGATGCTGGGAGTCACGTACTAGTTGATCCCCATTGGAGGCACACTACTCTCTTTCCTGTAACAAAATAATGGTGTCCCTGGCCCTCCCTGTCGTGATACTGCCAAAGTTGGATGCCGGGGGTCACTGGTTGATCCCCATTGGAGGCACAACACTCTCTTTCCTGTAACAAAATAATGGTGTCCCTGGCCCTCCCTGTCGTGATACTGCCAAAATAAGATGCTGAGAGTCACGTACTAGTTGATCCCCATTGGAGGCACACTACTCTCTTTCCTGTAACAAAATAATGGTGACCCTGGCCCTCCCTGTCGTGACACTGCCAAAATAAGATGCTGAGAGTCACGTACTAGTAGATCCCCATTGGAGGCACACTACTCTCTTTCCTCTAACAAAATAATGGTGTCCCTGGCCCCCCCTGTCGTGATACTGCCAAAGTAAGATGCTGGGAGTCACGGACTAGTTGAGCCCCATTGGAGGCACACTACTCTCTATCCTGTAACAAAATAATGGTGACCCTGGCCCTCCCTGTCGTGATACTGCCAAAGTAAGATGCTGGGATTCACTGGTTCAATCCCCGGTGGAAGGAGACTTCTTTCTTTTCTATCACATTTATCTTATACATTTATCACCATTGACACAATCAGCAGATCCAGGATTTAGGATGGCAGGGTAACTCATAAACATGGAGAGTAATGTTTCAGAAAATGTAGAATACAAAAATAAAATTGCATATAAGAATAAACAGTTTGGCCATAAATGGAGGTATTTGGTACCTGATACTGGAATTTTATATATATATGGTTTAAGTCCTACTAATGACCGGTTGTTTGCAGGTTTACGAGCCAGGGCTGGCAGGGAGCTGACGGTATGGACATGAGTCAGATTTACAAGTGCTTGCCAGACATACACAGGTATTAAATGAATTAACTACTGCTGTATTTACATTGTAGTGTTGAGCGTGTATAGTTTACGGGTATATGAACTACTGCTGTATTTACATTGTAGTGTTGAGTGTATATAGTTTATGGGTATATGAACTACTGCTGTATTTACATTGAAAGATTGAACGTATATATAGTTTATGGGTATATGAACTACTGCTGTATTTACATTGTAGGATTGAACATATAGAGTTTATGGACGAGAAGGAACTCCTGGATCAGTTGCTGAGTCATTACTGTATAGTATGGGCATGGAAGGACCCTCATGACCTTGGTCTCTGTGATATGACCTTCACCTGACCTTGGCCTTTGTGACATAACATTGGCCTCTGTGACATGACCTTTGCTTGAAGGACAGTGCACCAAAAAAGTTTTAACAAGTGCTCAAAACCTTTCATGGACATTTCCACTGTATATGTGAAGTACATGTATGTTTATGTAAGGTTATTTCTAACATATCAAGAACATGGTTCAAATTTTTCAGTCGTTTTTTTTCAGACATCATGTGACCTGTTTATATAGGTGTTTAATGTCTAAATGGTTGTGAGCGGTTGGGAAAATAAAAGGTCTGTGCCATGGTATCAATGCTGTGACGATCAAATCTAGCAGATCAACTTGGTTCCATGCTTATAATCAGAAAACTAAAAATTTAGACCAAATTAGGAATAATGTTTGCAGTAAACAATTTCCTTCTTTTTCGACTGATTTCCAAAGAAAATGTTTTTGTTTCAGCAGACAGGAATGTCTCTATGCAGTAGGTGGTCCCAAACTCTTAAGGCATTTTTGGCTGAAGTTTGTCAGGCATTGAGCAGTTCCTGCTGGTCTACCTTGTCAGGCATTGCTCAGTTCTTGTGGTCTACTTTGTCAGGCATTGAGCAGTTCCTGTGGTCTACTTTGTCAGGCATTGACCTGTTCCTGTGGTCTACTTTGTCAGGCATTGCTCAGTTCCTGTGGTCTACTTTGTCAGGCATTGAGCAGTTCCTGTGGTCTACTTTGTCAGGCATTGCTCAGTTCTTGTGGTCTACTTTGTCAGGCATTGAGCAGTTCCTGTGGTCTACTTTGTCAGGCATTGCTCAGTTCTTGTGGTCTACTTTGTCAGGCATTGAGCAGTTCCTGTGGTCTACTTTGTCAGGCATTGCTCAGTTCTTGTGGTCTACTTTGTCAGGCATTGCTCAGTTCCTGTGGTCTACTTTGTCAGGCATTGCTCAGTTCTTGTGGTCTACTTTGTCAGGCATTGCTCAGTTCCTGCTTGTCTACTTTGTCAGGCATTGAGCAGTTCCTGTGGTCTACTTTGTCAGGCATTGACCTGTTCCTGTGGTCTACTTTGTCAGGCATTGAGCAGTTCCTGTGGTCTACTTTGTCAGGCATTGCTCAGTTCTTGTGGTCTACTTTGTCAGGCATTGCTCAGTTCCTGTGGTCTACTTTGTCAGGCATTGCTCAGTTCTTGTGGTCTACTTTGTCAGGCATTGACCTGTTCCTGTGGTCTAATTTGTCAGGCATTGACCTGTTCCTGTGGTCTAATTTGTCAGGCATTGACCTGTTCCTGTGGTCTAATTTGTCAGGCATTGACCTGTTCCTGCTGGTCTACTTTGTCAGGCATTGCTCAGTTCCTGTGGTCTAATTTGTCAGGCATTGACCTGTTCCTGTGGTCTACTTTGTCAGGCATTGCTCAGTTCTTGTGGTCTACTTTGTCAGGCATTGCTCAGTTCCTGCTTGTCTACTTTGTCAGGCATTGACCTGTTCCTGTGGTCTACTTTGTCAAGCATTGACCTGTTCCTGTGGTCTAATTTGTCAGGCATTGAGCTGTTCCAGTGGTTTACTTTTATTGATATTTAAAAAATGCATGTGATTACTATTGGGCAAATCAAAATGATAAATGAAAGTGTCCAAGTTAGAATTTTGAAATTTTCATTAGTACACAGCTTTTTATATCCCAGTGACTTTTTCCTAAAGTTATATACATGGAAATACAGAAAATGTGTATTTAAAATCAATGTGCATATGTATGTAATACAACTGGAAAAACACTATGGGCCAGATTTCTACTGTTGGTGTAATTTTACATTGAAATATTAATAATGTATGTGTATTGTTCAGTTGCTTCAACAAGATAGTTGTGAAAAGATTTTTTTTGTGAGTGTGTTTCTTATACAGCATTAAAATGTGAATTTCTTGTTCCATCAGAATTACATTGCCCCAATTAGTCACTTTACTTATGCATGTAGATTTTACTTGAGATAACTTTAATTCACTATTTCAATAATTGATAATTATCAACGATTATATCATTAGGATATTTACATCTATAAATCTGCAAAATGGTTTCAACGTAATTATCTTCCAACAAAAATAGTGAAATTAAGAAATGCTCATTCAGTGATTAATAATTATTGATAAAACCAATATTTGTGGTAGATTCAAAAATGCAAAATGGGCCCTCACAAATTTACACCAAAACCAATCTTTCGCATATTAGAGCACTTTCGTAGAACAAATCATTAAATATCTGATCGTTGTTTTCTCAAAGCCTGCCCTAGTTGTACAGCAATGTAATGACGTCAGTGTCATTTATTACCTGGAGTGGTGACTAACGAACACCCCCGATCTACAGGTATTAGTATATAGTGATACGTCAGAAATCTCGCTAAAATCTAGTAATAAAAGTTAAAATCTACTTACAAATTTATCTAAATGGTTACCTCCAGGAAAAATTGTTAACTCATTTGCCCCTGAAGACACATTTGAACTCTTCCAATTCAAAGGTTGGAATAGCTCAATATGAAATTTCAGGGGTGAATGAGTTAAGTGATTGGGATGTCCCCGTCTTCAAATTATTTGTTCCCTTTTTGAGAGTATTCAGCTCATTATGTTCCAGATATCACGATTCTGTTTATTGAGTTTTTTGGAAGAAGTGAATGAGAGTGAACATCCCCGGTTGGCTGTGACATCTATAACCTTCGTCAGTATATAAACCAGTGTGCTGACTGGCATTGGTGTGACTCCCACCTACATGAAGCTGCAGGAACCATATAGCTCACAGTCCAATCTATTCTTGTTTAATTTGGACATTTTGGCTTATTGGACCGTTTGGTCCGATTGTTTTATTTGTAAATTTTTAGTTCTTAAATTTCAAAATAAAACAAAAACCGATAAGATTTTGAGCCACGGTTCTCACAGATATATCTCCAACAATAAGGTGAATTTTGTGTTGGACTGTACTGCTAAACAAGGTCTATAATGTTTTTCGGGGCACCCTTGATGGAAGTATTGTTTGTTCATGTCGATTCCTGTATTAAATACTTGTATGTGAAAAATATAACGCAGTGGGAAAATTCCTTATGGAAGTCGTCACTGTTCTTTAAGAAATATATATAGGTTCACATCAATATAAATGTGTAAATTTATTTTTCACATAATGGTCCCCAATGGTTGTATTCAAAAAGATTTTTCCTGCCTTTTTAATGATTTATCAGGAAAAGGTCGAGAATGTTAATAGCAATCTTCTGGATTAATGAATTGTCTTTGGAAGGTTGTTTAGATATCAACATTCTAGATCACCCAAGCCCAGTTCCACCTTTGATTTACTATGAAGTATATGTATGATATTATATTTCTTATTTATTCTATTGTTTGATGAATTCCATGTGTGCCAGAAATAAAGAATTAAATCAACTGACACTTTTATGTTGATTTTCTACAGGAGAACATGGCCACCTTTGTTTTTTTCGCATTCGAAATGGTTTAACAAGTTATGCCAGTGTTTGTCTCAAGTCTTATTTAGTTAGAATACTAAGGCCTACATGCAATCCTAACCCATGTAGACTTTTGAAACCCAATTAGCACTTAAAATTGACCTTTGACCTCATACTGTAATTATAAAAAGGATTTGCACTGCTGGTCTACAAAACATACTCAAGTATCCTGACACTAGTCCAAATGGTTCTTAGGATATTGTTGTTTGAAGTTTTTAACATATTTGACCCCTGTGACCTTGAAAGTAGGTCAAGGTCATTTTAATGAGGAAACTTTATAGCACTCCATCCCAGGTACATACTGGCCAAATATCATGACCTAGGTCCTAATGGAACTTGAGAAGATTGTTAAGCTTTTAACCCATGTTGACGTTTGACCCTCGACTAGCACTTTAAAGTTGACCTTGACCTCATTACTGTTCTTAACTACTGGCCAAATATCATGACCCTATGTCCTCCATTTCTTCAGAAGAAGTCATTCAAAAGAAAAAGTTGACGGACAGATGACAGACGGACTATAGACGCCGCAGTACGGCATAAGCTCACACCCAGGTGAGCTAAATACAACACAAAGGCATAATGTACATTTTGAAAAGTTTTACTCCAAGATGGAATGACAAAAGAAAAAAAAACACAATTGGCACTTGCACCATAAGTTATGATTATATTTTTTATCTCTTACTCGGTACGTACTAACTGGTCTAATTACCTCACACAACACAGAACCAATGATTGCTGCTGCCTCATTATATGTATTAGTGTTGTCCGACACTTCTACACACTGTAAGGTCAATAACAAGGTCACCTCTACACACTGTAAGGTCAATAACTAGGTCACCTCACCTGTAGGTAACGTTTCCAGAAATATTGAACACATACATCAATATATCATTGAAAATTACTTCTATTCTGCCAAATCTACATTGTTTTATAAATCTGATTTCTGTTATTCCCATTTCAGGACCACATGTAGGTATTAGGGCCTGAACTATATCTGGAAATAGGGAGATACTAATACGAATGCGGAGGTGGGTGATTCCGGCCATGTGGACGGAAAGCGAGAGATTTGTATGACCCGCGCGGGTCATGAGTTGGGCGCGGGGACTGTAATATGTCTGATGAGGAGGGCTGTGATAAGCCTGGGGGCGGGGACTGTAATATGTCTGGTGAGGAGGGCTGTGATGAGCCTCGGGGCGGGGACTGTAATATGTCTGGTGAGGAGGGCTGTGATAAGCCTGGGGATGGGGACAGTAATATGTCTGGTGAGGAGGGCTGTGATAAGCCTGGGGGTGGCGACTGTAATATGTCTGGCGATGAGGGCTGTGATAAGCCTGGGGGCGGGGACTGTAATATGTCTGGTGAGGAGGGCGTGTGACTAGCCTGGATAGGGATTGGGCAGTTATATAATTATAGGACTATGGAAAGGGCAGTGATAAGCATGGCAAAGTTAGGGACTGGAGCACAGAAAAGAGTAGAATGGGTGATAGGTATACAGTATGTGTTCCGATATTTTATACTACCCGTATATATGCAAAAGTAGCTTAAAATCTGCTTAAGAAGAGGTCTGGTGGCAAGTATTCTTGAGCCTACTACTGCTTTTAATGTGTGGTATGTGAACTCCTAATATGGGCTTATCACTGGTTATGTGTGGTATGTGAACTCCTAATATGGGCTTATCACTGGTTTTGTATGGGATGTGAACTCCTAATATGGGCTTATCACTGGTTATGTGTCGTATGTGAACTCCTAATATGGGCTTATCACTGGTTTTGTATGGGATGTGAACTCCTAATATGGGCTTATCACTGGTTATTTGTGGTATGTGAACTCCTAATATGGGCTTATCACTGGTTTTGTATGGGATGTGAACTCCTAATATGGGCTTATCACTGGTTATGTATGGGATGTGAACTCCTAATATGGGCTTATCACTGGTTTTGTATGGGATGTGAACTCCTAATATGGGCTTATCACTGGTTATGTATGGTATGTTAACTCCTAATATGGGCTTATCACTGCTTATGTATGGTATGTGAAGTCCTAATATGGGCTTATCACTGGTTATGTATGGTATGTGAACTCCTAATATGGGCATATCACTGCTTATGTATGGTATGTGAACTCCTAATATGGGCTTATTACTGGGTATTTATGGCATGTCAACTCCTAATATGGGCTTATCACTGGTTTTGTATGGTATGTGAACTCCTAATATGGGCTTATCACTGATAATGTATGGCATGTCAACTCTCGATATAGTGGCACCTGTTTTTTAATGTTAGTCTGGAAAAGTTGAACCAAATCCTACAAAATACGAGTGTTTCACAAGATGAACGTATAACAAAATATCAAGGACAAACACAACATCACGACCTACTTTTAGCAATGAAAAAATTTCATTGATTCACATCTACTCATATGTATGTATATATATTATTTATAAACGATGTACACAAAAAATCAATAGACTTTATATTCATTCCTAAAGGAGGTACAATAAAAAATCATTTCTGTCATAATTTGATAACTAGTATGTCAATTACACAACATTAACGGCATCCATTGTCCTTCCTTACGTGATCTGAGTGAGACGGTTTGATCAGAATCTAAAATAACGATGATAAGTATGACATACCTTTTTATCATTCAAATGATTTTAGAATCATATCATTAGATCATTATGCATTATACTGCACACAAAAAAACACTTAGAAGTTGGGAACTTTGTCTAAAGACCCTTTTGTAAATTATGCAAATTCTGGAAACCAAATTGGATCAACAGCCATTATTAAGCAGTCATTTCACAGCCAAATAACTGAAAGCGTACAATAGCACATCACATACAGCATTTCTGTATGTATGGAGAATAATAAAGATCAATAAGGTTGTTTTTTTATTTTGAAAAGGGAAAAAGGTTTCAAGAAAGAAAAAATGAAGTTTGGATAACTTGGATATTGTCACAAAACGGAAAGTCAACCAACATTTCAAAATTTGAAATCGGGATGATGACTATGTGACAAAAAAACAATAACTAGAAATCGGGATGACTATGTGACAGAAAAACAAGAACTAGAAATCTGGGTTGGGGGGGGGGGGGAATGCATTTCAAACCAGTGGATGGTTTGTCATCATTTAGATAGGGTAACTAGCTGGGTAATCCTAATTTCATCAATCTAAGATCAGGAATGCATCTATATCTGTCATTCTCCTATTACACTTACCACATATAACAAGTAACACCAATAATGTATACCAAACATTTCTAATCCAACATTACTGTGGTATATATACACATTTCATGCTTCCAATACAGCTGTGTTCACATCACAAAATCTTCAAAAACATCTGAAAAGTCTAGAATTTCAGATATACTGGAAATTCAGTGTTAATACAAGCACAGTTTTAAACAGTCTTATATGTCTAAATTGAAATCTTCTTTTAAAACATTTTGAAACTTCTTTTCACTGAAGGTGTCAGCTTCTTGAATTGCTGACCAGTGAATGTCAGCTTCTTGAATTGTAAAAAAGTCTTCAAATTTGAATACCAATATGGAACTAGAGTAGGCCAGGCACCAGTACTAATATTAAAACCCGGCCTCCTCTGCCCCGCCCTGGCGATCCCATGCCTTTTTAGTTGAGCAAGCCTGGTGCGATAAATCACACGGGGGCGATTTTAGAATTAATTGACAGCATCCGCATCCATTATTAGGTTTGTAATATGAACTTTTTCTGTTGATCTCCGCCATAATTATAAGTTATACTCTGCCTTATATGTCGTTAAATTATCAACTTTATGTAGCAAGTGCAATCGAAATCTGAATTGACTGCCATGTTGGAAACTTCTTCCGTCTTCCGATAGCCTATAGGTCAGATGTCTAAATATGGGTGTCATGACCAAATATGGAAATTGTAGTAACATGACAGCATCAGAAGGAATACTTTATTTGGCCGTGTAGGCCATACAAGGAAAAGGGTAATTGAGATAACGTCACGCGTGATCTAACAAGGCGGTCATTTCTATTTTAAGAGTTTTTAGTAAGGATTTGTTATTTCAACGAATATGCAATATTTTGATAACATTTTACTCATATGAGGCGTGATTCATATATATTATTACAGATTAGCACTTTTGATTTTGCTCAGTTAGTTGGAACAGAACAGCTTCATAGCTCTGACCACGCAATATATAAATGTAGGCAGGGACGTAAATGCAAGAGTCACAAATTTTAGCCAATCAGAGGACAGTATTTCCGTGTAACGTACGGCTTAATCCAGCGACAGTTCCAAGAGTAAATATACAGTGTATTTTTCATAAGAATACAAAGTTGTAGAAGGATACTCGGTTCTAACTAAGAATAAGATTATTTCTAATGACTTTTGAGTGAACTTGAGTCTGTGGTAATGGATTTTATTTGCAGTTTGCTTAGTATTACTGGTAGGCGACGTATGTCTTGTTTATTAATAACTGAGCTCAAAATTAACTGAAGTATTTTACCGGAATTTGCGTGAAGCATGCATGACCTACAGTCAAGTGGCAGTTCCCGATTGAAATAAACAGGGTGCATTTTCAAGAATATGACGTTGTAATAAGATCACATGTTCTACCAAGGAAATGAATTATATTTACAAGCCATTCAAGTGAATTTGAGTCCAAAAAGTAATGCATAATAAAGACAGTAGGTCCGGTATATGATTCAATTTAGTACCATCCCCTGCCACTAGAGCGGCGTATAGTTGAAAACAGCATTTATGAATATCTTGAGCTCATTAACTGAAGTAACACCAATAGCTTGTGGCCATTGCCTTAGCTAAAAACTACCCTTTGCCTCATAGTCCTGGGGATGAAATTACTTGGTTATATTTCTAAACATTTTCTTCAGGTTGGTAAGCATGGATTATGAGAAGTTCTTTTTACACAATCAATAGAATTTTCTATGTGACGTTTCGATGACTAGTACGATATGTACACTCACCTTCATCAGACAAATGACTAGTGAAGCGTTTGTACACAAAGGTGTAAAATATGTACGAGTTGTCCATAAAATCGATTTCGGCTACGCTGGAAACGTATGTACAATAGTTGTTATATTTATAATACTTGGTTATAATTAACAGCTGACAAACACAGTGCCATGGTCTATCAGGTAAGCTATATATATATCTATACCCAGTAATATAAATAAGTTAATATTTAATACAATTTCATCTGGACCTTGAAAAACTTGAAAACAACAATGTTCCTGTAGTATATATGTTCAAAAATATTAAAATTCAAAACAACTACTTACAGATTCAAAACAATTGCCTAAACAAAATCAACACAAAATATTTGTAGTTTTAAGGCAAGCATTAATTATACCACTGTACTTTAGTTTGGCAGTACGAGATAATGATTCATTCAGCTATATATGCTGTTCTTGAACAAATGGGTTCTGGACTAGCAAGAAATGCACAATTTCAAATCAAACTGAAAACCAACAGGACATACATATCTGACAAGTGCATGCTTGGTATTCACCACCGAACTGCTTCCTGTCATACATATATAGCTTTCTGCCTTGGAATTCAAATTCATTTGCCAAGTAATGCTTAAAATCGACACATAAATAAATAGAAAAAAATGTACAATTCTGTAAACTGATTGTAATTTGAAATAGGGAAGTGATGCTGGTTTTAAATAATTCCAATTTCCTGATTCCAACAGACCCTTTGTTAAATGTGAATACTTATAAGACCATCATTTCGGTCAGACTTAGGCCTCTTACAACCAAACTAACAGGACACACGTAGATTGGACAACCATTTTGGTCAGACCTAGGCCTCTTACACACAAACTAACAGGACACACACAGATCAGACAACCATTTTGGTCAGACCTAGGCCTCTTACACACAAACTAACAGGACACACACAGATTGGACAACCATTTTGGTCAGACCTAGGCCTCTTACACACAAACTAACAGGACACACACAGATCAGACAACCATTTTGGTCAGACCTAGGCCTCTTACACACAAACTAACAGGACACACACAGATTGGACAACCATTTTGGTCAGACCTAGGCCTCTTACACACAAACTAACAGGACACACACAGATTGGACAACCATTTTGGTCAGACCTAGGCCTCTTACACACAAACTAACAGGACACACACAGATCAGACAACCATTTTGGTCAGACCTAGGCCTCTTACACACAAACTAACAGGACACACACAGATTGGACAACCATTTTGGTCAGACCTAGGCCTCTTACACACAAACTAACAGGACACACACAGATCAGACAACCATTTTGGTCAGACCTAGGCCTCTTACACACAAACTAACGGGACACACACAGATTGGACAACCATTTTGGTCAGACCTAGGCCTCTTACACACAAACTAACAGGACACACACAGATTGGACAACCATTTTGGTCAGACCTAGGCCTCTTACACACAAACTAACAGGACACACACAGATTGGACAACCATTTTGGTCAGACCTAGGCCTCTTACACACAAACTAACAGGACACACACAGATCAGACAACCATTTTGGTCAGACCTAGGCCTCTTACACACAAACTAACGGGACACACACAGATTGGACAACCATTTTGGTCAGACCTAGGCCTCTTACACACAAACTAACAGGACACACACAGATTGGACAACCATTTTGGTCAGACCTAGGCCTCTTACACACAAACTAACAGGACACACACAGATCAGACAACCATTTTGGTCAGACCTAGGCCTCTTACACACAAACTAACGGGACACACACAGATTGGACAACCATTTTGGTCAGACCTAGGCCTCTTACACACAAACTAACGGGACACACGTAGATCAGACAACCATTTTGGTCAGACCTAGGCCTCTTACACACAAAATAACAGGACACACGTAGATTGGACAACCATTTTGGTCAGACCTAGGCCTCCTACACACAAACTAACAGGACACGCACAGATCCATGCTGGTGGAATCCAAAGGACAACCATTTTGGTTAAAACACCAGACATCCATCTGGGTAAAAAAAGCCTGTTTGGGTCGGATTTACCACTGTCAGGTAAAAATAACCATCTGGGTCCGATTTACCACTGTCAGGTAAAAATGCCCGTCTGGGTCGGATTTAACTCTGTCAGGCAGAGTTTACCTTTCTAAAACTTTACTAATTCAGATTATTTTTTTTCAAGTTGTATTTATCTGCAGATATCTTTTTCCAATAAAAGACAATATTACGAGGAAGCTGGAGTTAGGTAATGACTCTCCTTTGAACATTTTTAAGTCCTTAACTATAGTTAGGAACACGTTGTAGAGCTTTTTATATGACAATTTATTCACAAATACCTGTAGCTGTATACTATATTAAAACATTGAATAATATAGAACACACAACTCTCACAACAAATATGGTCACATCCAAAAGTTAAATCTCTGGAAAAACCTTTCATAAATTTCTGTCCATAAATTACAGTGATATTTTAAACCATGAAATTAAGCTCAACAATGAAAGATTTCTGTCCATAAAGTGATATTCTAAACCGTGAAATTTAACAATGACAGATTTCTGTATCAATTTTGTTCATATAATCGTAAATGTTTTTTAAAAGAATCAGTCAGGTTTTCAGTCAACCATTAGAACGTCCAAACTACCGGTATACTATTCAACAATCTTCAGCACTGGATGATATTTCAACATTGTTGGAAGGAATGTCCACATCCATGGAAGAAAACTGAATGTTATCAGAAGATATTTCTACATCGTTTGAGCATACTTCTGTTTCCATGTGAACGTTGTCGATGACAATGTTGGAGCTGACTGTCTGGAGATCACCAACCCCTATATTGACCCCTTGTGGTATGTAGGTCAAAGTTTGACCGTCTGATGTGCTTAGTTCCACTTCACCTGCCTCGGACAGCTGAAGAGACTGCTCTGCAGCCAGAAGGAGGCTGGACAATTCCTGTGACACCACAGCAGTCCCCCCATCCTCTTGTAACTGAACGTAATGGATAGTGTTGTTACCGCTGGCAACTTCCAGCAGGACTGAGGCTGCTTCTGCCAAAGTGTCCCCGGCATTTATCACCCCTGACTCGCTGACCTCAATGCTGTCTACCTGTGAAATCAATAGCACTCATTTGTTAAGCATATGTAAATTGTTTTAAAAACAATTTTTCATTAGAAAATAGACCTTGTATGGCTATGATTGAACTTACTCATTGTTTTTAATGCCTTGCAATGCAAACTAGTTCCAGTGTTACATTGCTTGTACAAACAGGACACTTCTAATAATTTATAGTAAGACCTCAAAATTTAATTTATGTCAATATGTTACTTTCCTGTTTAAAAGAAAATTAAAATATAGAATGTTTAGAACACATTCAAATGGGAAGGGGAGGTAACTTCATTTATGAAAAAACTACAATTCAGTGGGACAAGGATTCTTCACATCTGGACTTCTGGCTGTCTCTAAATACTGGTTTATCTACATGTTTTGTATGATAGATACATGTAGTAGGAACAACAAGACCATGTGTATCAATACAATATACCTGTAGATCTGTAGTGGCGTTGTTTTTGATATCCGTGACCAGACGGGACCCCTCCTCTTTCTCCTCCGACTGTGAGGTGATGCTGGCAGCAAGGACTTCTTCCTCCTGTGTGGAATTATGAGCCTTCTTTAGATGATTGACAAGGAAGTGTTTCTCCAGGAAGCCCTGACAACAGTGCTTACACATGAACGGGAACTCTGTCCCATGATCTATATGCATGTGTTCCACCATTTTGGTTTTGTAACAGAAGCTGAGACTACAGTGAGAACAGTAGAACAGATCCTCAGAGTTGCGTCCATACTTGAATCTTCCTCTTTGGGCGCCTAGGACCTGGATGTCAGACATATTGTGTGCCTGAGCCATGTGCTCCTCAAGTAATTTCCGTCGTCCCATTCCCATCTTACATTGTGGACATCTAAAAGGATAGATATTGAGGTGGACCTTCTGAACATGGCTCACCATTGCACTCTTCAGGTTAAACCCTTTCCCACAATAGGAGCAATGAAAGTTTTCCCTCACAGGTCCGTGGACTATCCTCATGTGTCTCTGATAATTGCACTCATACCAAAAACCCTTTCCACATGTTGGACAAACAAGACTTTTAGATTCGTCCGACCCATGAATACGTTCATGTCGTGTCAGCTGGGATTTTCTGGCAAATTTTTTGTTACACACTTTACAGATTATATTCATTTTACCTTCATGTATTTCCTCAATGTGCTGCTTGAGGGTCATTGCCCATTTAAATTTGGCAGGACAATGATGGCACAGATGTGGCTGGCCTTTAACTCCGTGGACAGCAAGCATGTGATTACGGAGGCTTTGAACGTTTTTATACATTTTGTTGCACACTTTACACTTAACTGTTTCATTTCTAAAGTGAAATCTATTTTCATGTATTTGAAGTTGAATACGATCCTGACAGCTTGTATTACAAATACGACACGTCACCATTTTAAGTTCTTTGAGTTTGTCCAAGTATTCATCAACATCCTTCTCTTTCTTGTGCCAACGTCGCACATGACAATCTACACCAGTATAATCACAGAATTTTTTGGCGCAATACTTACAGGATTCACTAAGAACATTATTTCTCTGTCTTCTCTTGTATATTGGAATATTGTCTCCCAGATCAATGACCTTTCTTACTTTTCGCGGTAAGTCAACTTTGAACTTTTTGCGTGGCCTACCTGGTTTCCTCTTCTGGGTCCATTCACTATCTGAGCAGTCATGATCTACACAGTCCTTACTTTGTTCTTCATCAACATTATTGTTGTTTGTTGGTTCAACAATAGCTTCCTCTTCTGATATAGCAGAAACAGAATCTGATGCTAAAGTCTCTTCGGAATCAATTTCTGTTTTTATTTCAGTTTTAATTGATGAAGTAAGATAAATCTTTTCTTCCACATTATCACCTATGCCCTTTTCAGCACGCATGATCACAGACGAAAGTTTGACTCCCCTAAGACCATAGCGACGCCCACAATCTGGGACATTCGAAACTGCAGCAAGACTAGGAGAAATGGAATATTTTTTAGCAACTTTATCCTTGTTTTCCTTGTTAGTCACATCTTTACGTGGTCTACCTCTCTTTCTCTTGACTGGAGATGGTGTATCTGTAAAATCTGATGATGTAGTCGGAATTGTATCAATGGAGTTGGTATATGCTGGTTCACTTGCAACGACTTCATCATGTGTAGAAGTGCATTTCTCGGCTTTAGTTTTCTTTTCTGGTATATTTAAGGCTACCTCCTGAACGGCACTGTCACTTGATCTTGTAATTTCTGAAAAATTGCAAATGATTTTACCTTCTTTGACATTGAACTTGACACTTTTAACCGATATAAGGATATTTTTCCTCCCGTCTCCTTCATTTTGACTGTTAGAATGAGTTGCAATATTTGTTGTCAAAGTGTCATTATCAAACGATCCGCCTTTAGCAATCCATTGAATAACATCCGAATGTTCACATTCGTGAGCTAACAACGACTCTTTCAAGAAAGAAAGGGGTAGAACTATATCGAGGCTAGAAAAGGCGTCGACTGAAACTGTATCCATTGTTCACAATCTTGAAATAACTGTTTGATTTTCATGACAGCCTTCAATCACTTTCAGCAGAAATTCTTCCGAGCGTTTCAGCGATAAAACATTTTCAAGACGAAGAAAATTACCAAAAAGTAGACGTACAGGGACCGTTGCGGTAAAATGATAATAAATAAACAATCAAATAATTTATTATCGAAATATACACGTCTGAACAAGAATATTTCTTAACTGTGTTTTAACTTGACATAAGTAATTGTTTTGAATTGTTTCACTGCAAATAATTAATCGGCGAAAAAACATTTACGACATTACAGTACACGTTGAAACTACTGTAAGCAGACGAGTTAACAGAAGCAAATAGATAGTTGTTTCAACTCCGTATGGTGTTGTTAGAACATGGATAATGAATTGTATTTAACTGTCTATACTTCTGGTGTATTCCTATAGGATGTCGTGTCGAAAAAACATTATTTTCGGTCTAACCATTTTAAATTTCATTTGTGACAACAATGCCAAAACCATATTGGGTTCTGTTTCGACAACTGCTTCTCAGAGAGAATGGGGGCAGTTTATCACAACGTATTGTTTTCACGGTATGTATCTGATTTAATGTTTATTTTTTAGACAAAGATAAAAGAAATATACGCCTCGGCGATAGTTTAATTAATTGTCACTTTTAGCCAGTGTCGTCTGTCAAGGCACCACTACACAGTCACCCATTACAAGGGGAAGCAACTCTGATTTGTCACTGTGGTTCATTTTGTTTAACGTCCTATTAAAAGCTGAGGTCATTTAAGGACGTGTCTCCATGTGTGTTGTGTTAGTGTGTATGTGTGCTGGAGAAATGGTATGTTGGGGTACTTGCCTCCCTCTGATAGTGAGGATCTGATGCCGACTTTATAGTGCTATCTCACTGAAATACCATGCCGAAGGCACCCAGTACAACATTACGCCGGGTCACATTATACTGACAACGGTGAACCAGTTGTTTGCCATTACCCTTAATGTGTTTATTAATACACATATTTTGCGCATATTTTTGGTATCGTCATTTCTGTATGTGTATCGGCCATTTCAATGCCATAATGTAATTTTGAAATTATGGTTCGGGTAAACACTAGTAAAAAAAAAATCATGCATAAATACATGGTTTTATACTGCATGTAGAATAATATTGTGACAGGTTTCAATCTTACATAGGATTACAATCGCTTTCTAGAGGTAAAGCTGTGGTCTATATATAAATAAAAAGATGTGACAGGAGTGAAAAATGCAAAAAACCAGACCAGGATTTGAACCTGGGATCTATACTCGAGACATACACTTTATAACTGATCGAGCTAACCTAGCTTGTCATTGGCAATCGATCAAGTTCACTTCTGCCACAAATGTTACTTCTGATGGTTTATTGAGTTGGTTGGCAAATGTAACATTAGAAAAGACAAATGTAATAGAGATCCAATCCAATTCTTTGACAGACACTTTGACAAAATGAGCTTTCTAGTTACACATATATAGTATAAGCATGTATCCATAGCTTTTGTTAAAATGAAATATGATTGGTGTAACACCAAAAAAAAAAGGTGTCTGTTTAGGGTTCCCGACCGACCCTAGCTTTTTACCCCTGACCCAAAACGTTTTGATGAAAAAAAAAAACTGCTGATTTTCGAATTTTAGAAGGTTCCTTGCCTTTCAAAATGGCTTCCAGCTCCGTGTTGGGGCTAAATGTCATCATAGGGAGCACAATTTGCCTCCAAATGAACCTTGTTTATGTAATTCTTTGTTTTACATACAATAGTAGGGTCATAATCACATGACCAAAAATATACACACAAAAAAATTAAAAAAATCTGACCTACCTACCCTAGTTTTTTTGCCAATGCAACCCTAAACAGACCATATATTTTTTTGGCCTGACCGATCAACAAGGATATGGTTCCATACAGCATTACAGCCAAAACAGAAGAGATATATAGGGTAAATTAAATCATGGATATTATGTTATAGGGATCTGTTCCGTTAGACAACTCATCTATATGCATCATCATCATATCACAGACAGACAAGTTTTTCAGATGACTCAGCTGTATGATTGTTTCTAAAATTCATGCTTTTGTTCATGAGATATTGTATACAAACCTTTAGAGGACCATGTGGAAGATTAGCCTTTGGCTAAACATGTATTTTATCCTCAATAGATAAAGTTTATTATTATTATTATTATGTTACCTGTACAGGTGATATTGCATACTAAACCTTTGTTACCTGTACAGGTGATATTGTATACTAAACCTTTGTTACCTGTACATGTGTTGATGAGATATTAAACCTTTGTTACCTGTGTACAGGTGTTGATGAGATATTAAACCTTTGTTACCTGTGTACAGGTGTTGATGAGATATTAAACCTTTGTTACCTGTACAGGTGATATTGTATACTAAACCTTTGTTACCTGTACAGGTGTTGATGAGATACTAAACCTTTGTTACCTGTACAGGTGAAGCCTTGTTGAATTACACCCTGAACACCACTGGTAGCACACCACCGAAGCTGTACCTGTTCCTGAATGAGGACTGGCACGATGCTCTCCTGACTACATCTGACTGTCAACACAAACTCTCCAAGTCCCGGGCTGTGTGTAAGTTACCAATGCATTGGCAAGCCTTTTTGGTTACAACAGTCAAGTTAAGTGTTGATGATTTTTACAATTCTTAGAAAAAAAAGAAAACACTGAAGTCTCATAAATACATTAATAAATAGATGAAATTTATAAGTGCCTGTGATGTTATAAATGGCATTTCCTCCATTGTTCACCCATCGTCCAGCATCTACTTTTTCTGAAGGAAGAGGCCTAGGGTCATTACAATATTTCATAGCTTACTGGGGAGAAGGCAAGTCCTGTTGTTCAAATGACTGACCTTGATTTATTTTCAAAGTCACAGGAGTCAATTGTGTTAGAAGATAACCCCTTTCACTAATGGATTCCCGTAGACAGTAAATAAAACAACTTCCTGCTGACAACACGTCCCTGTATACTGGATTTGGGGCGGGATGGATCTAATATCTCTTTATTTCACTAAAGATAGTTTGCATAAGAAGAACTTGACAGAACGTTTTCTAAATATCTTTTTCTAAAAGGCCTAGTATGATAATTTGCCCAGATAGCATACATTCAAGGCGGTTCGACTAAATGAGCTTGACCAGTTTCAGTTTTTAAGGTTGCAATAATGAAATAATTCAAATTTTCCATTGAAGATTGAAAAGGTGTAGAATATTGATGTTATATCAGTTATTGACATAAATAAACAACACGCACAAAACGCTGTGTAACCGCCAATTTTATTGTTCAAACTCAGTCTGACCACGCTGTCGTGACGTCATACATATGTGTGCATGCACATACATACACAGAATACACAGACTTGTATAGTCTGTTTCAGAATACATATGATATGTTAACATTACCATTCATATTAAGCCTTAAGTGTTATATGGGGCAGCTTTAGTTTGACCTTGACCCTTTTTGAAGATCACAAATATGAAATGTTTGCCAAAATATTGCCAACAGCATTGAATGACAGGTGAGCGGTACAGGTCAATTGGACATCTTGGTTAATAAATGATTGAAAGTAATCTTCATGTATTATTATACAAAGATACTATCAAACTTTTAATCTTGATACATCTGATTCCAGATGAACTGAAGGGAACAAATGGCAGTATCACCATATCCCACTATAAACAGCCGCGCCTGTGGAACATCCTGTATGCCGATTCTTACACATGTGATGTTGACAGGCCACTGTTTCCTGGAGAATCTCCCAACTACATAGCCTACAAAATACAGCTGTTCAATCCTGATGCTCTCGGCAATCCCACCGAACATTTTGGTGATGACGAAACAGGTATCTATTGGTGAAAACAATTTTTATTTCAGCAAGTGTACCTTAAAACCCAATGAAGAATGAGAAAAATAGTATTTCTTAGAAATTTTTCATTACAGTACATTTTTAATATAGAATGTAATGATATATATATATATATGGGGCAAAGAAGTAATTCCAACAGTGTGGACAAGTTTAGGTTGTCAAATTTTCGGAGCGATCCGCTCCTTTATCAAGACACAGTGAAACAGAACAGTTACATGTACATATACATCATTGTATATAGATATAGACAGAACTTAATCAACAAGTGTTTGTATTGAAAATTGATTTAATATTATGTATTATTATCCTGGTTAAGATATAAAATGTAACTGAATGTAATTTCAGGTCTGTTGAGATTCTATCAGATGCTGATTCTGGCTTACTTTGTGATTGGGTGTATATTTGTTCCTCGCCTGCACGAGACACTGAAGAAGGGCGGGCCCATGCAGCTTGTGCTGATTCTACTGACCATATCTACTGGACTGCAAGCCCTGGGGGCCTTCACCATGATGATCCACCTACAGTGGTCAGTAGACTCGTCAGTTTTCAGTGTCAATCATGGGCGGATCTGTTTGCTGGTTTAGCCATTGACATCCCATGAAGACAACTCTGGTTAATTTCTGTGGGGAGCATGGACTTTTATTTCCTGTCCATCACACATATCATACAATTTCTTATTTAGAGGACTTAGCTCACATGGACTTTTATTTCCTGCCCATCACACATATCATACAATTTCTTATTTAGAGTACTTAGCTCACATGCAGACATTGAAAACTTACCAGCCAAACCTATATATTTATTGTAAATAAGGAAAATCTTAAACGCCCCATCATATAATCTAATGGTCCCAGGCATTGTTTTGTACACCCTTGCCTGTTACCAGAAATTCAGTCCCTTATATATTGGATTCCAAATTGTATTATCGGTTCTAAATCAAAGTAAAAGTAAATCTGAAGCAATTACAAAATGAATAGGCTATGGCTAGTAAAATAGGTACTAATTTCAGAAGCAATCTAAACTTATTTAGCAATCTTTGAGCGGGGATGTTGTTTTGTTTTGAAAGGGCAATTAGAGTAGTAAGGGGGAATAACTACAGTTATGTAATCCCATCTTCTCCCCACAGGTACTCCACAGATGGTATTGGTTCTCCTTTCCTGGAACTGCTTGCAGAATGTAAGTGTTATTTTGTACTTACCAATGTGATTTGCTACATGCTTGCAGTGTGTGAAATTGGAACTATTTTATTGAAGCCCAAACATCAAATTTGTATATATATAAACTCGACTCTGAACAAGTGAAATTGTGACTGTTTACGTGTCAGATCATCTAGGGTCAGATATGGTATTTGATTTCTCAAAATTCTAAATGAAATGTTTGATCTTTTACCAAAGGTGATAAATAAAGTGTATTCCAGTGGGAAAATATCATGTCAAACTCTATGAAAAGACAGAGGGCGTTGATTATTGCACATGTCAGATGAAATAAGTTTGTATTTGTACTGATTCTTTACAATTCTTTTGGTTCTTCAGCTTTTTAGCTCACATGAGAATTTGCTTTCGTCTATTGTCTGTCAACCTTTTTCTAAATTTTAAACTTGAGTTCAAAATCTTCTTAACCAATTTCGCTGAAACTTACTGTGGGTCCTGACTAATTCCTGTTGCTTTGGTCGATTTGAAATCATAAATGGTCACCGATACCATGGCAGTCATCTTGAAAGTCTGTTTTGAACATTCAATATGATCAGAATGATGTAAACACTATCGTGTCATAGTAGTAGACTAGTAGTGGTTTTTATGTTGTCTGTTCATCTTTTTTTGCTATTTAATTAGGTAATAAATCTCATTAAGTTTGAGGCCCTTTTTACCTCTTGTTCTTATATAATCTTGTTCAGGTCCTAATTTTTAAAACTTAACATATATTGATGAAACTAAAAAAATATACCTGCATCACCCCCAGGAGGTATGCAGTGCACTTTAATGTCTTTTCCTATTCATTTTCATTTCAAAATAGTATTAAAAATGTTTAGTTTTATTGTTATCACTTTACATGTAACGTGCTACCCCATTTTTCCATGCTATGAGATTTTGACCTGTTACAGTTGTTGATGTGCTGTCCCAGTTTGCTATGCTGTACATGCTGTTGAGCCTGAGTCTTGGCTGGACCCTGGGCACTTCCTACAGGTTCTCGCACCTACAGATAATCACCAAGAAACCTGCCGCCCGGGTCGTAGGGGTCATGGGGGTCATACAGGTAAGGCTACGTTGATACGTGTACAGGTCATTGAGTCAAAGGGGTCATGGGGGTCATACAGGTAAGGTTACATTGATACGTGTACAGGTCATTGGGTCATAGGGGTCATGGGGGTCATACAGGTAAGGTTACATTGATACATGTACAGGTCATTGAGTCAAAGGGGTCATACAGGTAAGGTTATATTGATGCATGTACAGGTCATTGGGTCGTAGGGGTCATGGGGGTCATACAGGTAAGGCTACATTGATACGTGTACAGGTCATTGAGTCGTAGGGGTCATGGGGGTCATACAGGTAAGGTTACATTGATACATGTACAGGTCATTGGGTCATAGGGGTCATACAGGTAAGGTTATATTGATACATGTACAGGTCATTGGGTCGAGTGGTCATTGGGGTCATACAGGTAAGGTTACATTGATACATGTACAGGTCATTGGGTCGTAGTGGTCATTGGGGTCATACAGGTAAGGTTACATTGATACGTGTACAGGTCATTGGGTGGAAGTGGTCATGGGGGTCATACAGGTAAGGTTACATTGATACATGTACAGGTCATTGGGTTGTAGTGGTGATTGGGGTCATACAGGTAGGGTTGCATTGATACATGTACAGGTCATTGGGTCGTAGGGGGTCATGGGGTCATACAGGTAAGGTTGACATGTGGACAGGTATGACATGATTTTAAAAGTCAGTATAGAGCTCATATAGAGATCATACAAGTAAATATACTCTGTAGATATCTTACAGGTAAACTTAGAGCTCATACAGATAAAAAATATTGAGATCAGTCAGTTACTGTCCGTATGTATATATATATATATATATATATCATATAGGTAAATATAGATGGCATACAGGTAAATAAAGAGGTCATACAGGTAAATATAGATGTCATACAGGTAAATAAAGAGGTTATACAGGTAAAAATATAGATCATACAGGTAAATAAAGAGGTTAAACAAGTAAAAATATAAATGTCATACAGATAAATATAAATGTCATGGGGATTGTACAGTACAGGCTAAATGTCATGGAGGTCACACAGGTATTGACAAACACATTTACACATGATCATCATTAAGACGCCTACTGTAAGGATCTTGTAGTCATTGGATGAAACAGGTAATGCTAGAGGTCATCAGGGTCATACAATTAAGTAACAGACTAACCTGAGCGAGTAGACTTTCGGGTGAACATCAAGAAATAGGCAGTGTGAGGGATATTTCAGTTTTACCTGCTTTAAATATGTTGACCCTTTCACCACTGTAGACCATAATGGACTCATCCAGATCGATGTATGGTAGAGTCTACTAAAGTTACCTAGGGGTGAAAGGGTTAACTGTCACAATAAGAGGCTCTGATTTGCATGACTTGTATACGTAGGCTGTGCTGTTTCTGTGGGAGCAGTATGCTGATAGAGAACATCGGATGTACCATGCACAGCGGAGCTATGGTGGGCTTGCTCTCGTCTTCCTTCGTATCCTGCTGGCTGCTTTGTTTGCCTGGAACCTACAGAGCACTGTGGCCTCTGAGAGGAGTGCTCTGAGGAGGGAATTTTACAAGTCTTTTACAAAGGTAGAGTAGTCTGATGGGGGGTAAAACAACTTAATATATACTTATATATATATATTTTACAACGATGATGAAAAAAGTTTATTTCAACTTATATTAATCATTCTTGTTGGCATGGATGTTAATATGAGGGGTTACTGGAGTACCCTTAAAAACAACTTATTTATGTAGTCATTAAATTTGCATGTTTCACAAAAGGTATCAACTTGATTTCCTTCCTTTGCGAGGACTGAATATGGAATAAGAACAGTTTTACATACCTTTTTTCTGTGTTTTTGAAAATTTGAATTTTCGTATCAACTTTTCTCATGGTGCCTGTACTGGTTCAGGTAATTAATAGACCTGCCCCATCCCACTGCATGATCATGTGAGGCTACTGATGTAGCCCTCCTGAATCAGGGGCTTACCTCTGTGTTTCTGCTTAGAAAATTTGGGGTCATATTACAAATTGAAATTGCTGTACCATTTACAACAGCTGGGATATTTACAGGGTTCGAACAGGCCTTGAAAAGCCCAAAGGGTGAAAATAAAACTTTTTACTACAATTTTTACTACCTAAATGATTGTTTAACTTTGTTTGTATATATTGATTTTGGTGGTTTTGTGGTGTTATTCCCATCAAAATGAAATCAGAAAATATAAGAAAATGAAATATTTGTTACAAGTCAATATCTAGATGTTGGAGTATAAGGTTGTTTTGTGTTTAATTGGTGAGTTTAGGGACCTCCTTTTCTACATGTGACCTCTGACCATTTTGGTTTGAGCATGTGACCTTGTTTTACCCTATTGTGTTTATAGACTGTTAAGACTTAAATGAACATTCGATCCTGACATGATAATGCAAAAACAATGGCCATACCTTGTGAAGACTTCTAAGTTATTAGTTAACAGTGGTTAATTCATTGTATTCCCTATTGATATACGATGGTGTTTATCTCCTTTCAGTGTTGTATGCTGTGGTTTCTCTGTTATCCTGTCATTGTTGTGGTTTCCTGGGTATTATACGAATACCTTAGATACAAGGTGAGTCTTCACACGAGTACTCATCAGTCAGTGGAGCTCAGTAACAAGTTCTAGATCACAGCTACCCAATATCTACATAATACTTGGAGAATTGTGTATTTCGCTTGGCAGCAAGTTCCTGACAAAACTTGTCAATGACTGGCAGGTATATCAATGTTAATATTGTAAATTATTCACATCATTCCAGTTTTACAGTTTTCTAGCAAAGTATAAGTAGCACATGCAAATCTTTTTTTGTTTTTATTTGCAGATGATAACAATGGCTGTGGTGCTATGTCAGTGTTTCGCGGTGGCCATGTTGTATAAATTATTTCTGTCCCGGAGTCTGTACTGGGAAATATCAGCTCTGTCCAGTACCCTGCCACTGAGGATAGATAAAAACTTTGGTATGAAGGCATACTCCTGACAGAAATGCTTCTGTCATTATGTGTTTGAGAGGGTAGAAATTGTCTCTTTTCTTTTGTGAGTCATATATAAATGGTTGTTCATAAATCGAACAAATCTGTTTGATGTCTTTTGAATTTCAGGTATTTTAATAGATTTAAGTTTATGCTTTATTTTATGAACGAAAGTGTTTGTGGACATGAATGCTACTTTGAATTTAAACCCCAAGTGAAGTTGATATCTGTACATGTGCTAGTGAAGTAGTATATTACACACGCACAGTGTAATATTACTTATTGCATGATAACAATATTGTATAGCTTTATATGTAAAACAGCAAAGAATACAAAGTTGATATCTCTGTACATGTACTAGTGAAGCAGTATATTACACAGTGTAATATTATTTATTGCATGATAACAATATTGTATAGCTTTATATGTAAAACAGCAAAGAATACAAAAGAAATAGAAGTTGACAGGACCACTTTCATTCTTTAATTTCGTGCAAACCTCATTTTGCAAACGATGGCTGTGTGGGCTTCATTCATGAATACTTGAATTTGCTTCTCAGAGGATGCTATTTAGATATTGATATTATTTCTGGAAATAATCATTGCTAATGAAAGCTAACAATGTCTTACATAAACTAATATTAGTGGTTTACAGTGTCTTATCCTGATTGTGCACTTTTGAAATAGGAATTTACTTTCGAGCCAATTATTGTGCTAGTTATACTGGTCTAATATCACCTAATAGATCTGCCTTGTAATCATGTAAGTTTGAATTTTGTTCCGGTTGAATGAAAAGTCCAAAGCTGGTGACAACATAATTTTATCCTTGTTGATATAAAAATGCAAGAATTTCTTTTAATGTTGAAAACATGAACTTTTGTCCTACTGCTATACAAGTGGATATTTCCCTGGGTGGAATGTTTATATATTTGGAAAAGTCTCTTCAGATTTGATAGTTGTGAAAATAGATTGGGTCGTCACCCCTGAAATTTCATAATGAACTATTTATTCCAAGCTTTGAATTGGAAGAGTTCAACTGTGTCTTCAGGGGTGAATGTGTTAATAGATTAAAAATCAAATGTGTCACAGAATAAGTGTTCTGAGAAGCTCAATAGTGTGTGTCTCAATAGTGAACCGTTCAGTTGTTTGCCTTCATCTCTCTTTTAGATTGGCTGAATATGTAGAACACTTGACCAGCAATACCTGGTAGTAATTTGCAGTTCTGAAACTGACTCCTTGCAAATGCAAATCATAGAGTGATTGATGTGTGGCACCAAAGTGCTTGTTAACAGGGGTGATCTATTGACTTGTCTTTGTCACTATAGGTAAGCTTTATGACGCAGAATAACAGGAAATACTTCATTATGTGCAGAGTTGCAGTGCCCATTGGTGGAATTTGAGGTTTAAATCTCTAAAATCCTTCTTCTTCAGTACCATTGGAGGGATTCTATGTAATAAGAATAATTTCCCATGGTTGCTTTAGTATCTAGGTTAGCGATCCCAACTTTGTATCTATATTATATCTATATGCACATACACTATTTGAGAAAAAAGAAATATTTATACAAATATGATTGATAAACTACAGATACATGAACAGGGTAATATAGCAGTTCATTAGCTGGTGAATCATTCTTCCTCATAGAATTCTAATTACATGCACAAAATCCATTTTAAGTGTAAATTGTGTTAAGTAAAATCTGGAAATCTGGCCCCAATGTCAAACTTAAGTTGCGTTATCTCCTCTAAACTGAGGTAGAAAATTCTGATCTTTTATAAAACATTTATCAACAGACACTTCAATTTGTGATTGATTCTCTGGCTACTTTTGTACTGAAAGACATAATACTGGACATAATGTATTTATATATATGATCAGAAAATGTGTGGATTTTGAGGTTTGTGACTGGGCCCTGTATAAAACAGGACATTAATCCAACTCTAAAGACATTATCATGCAAATTAAACCTGTGTAATCTGGACACTTGTATAAATGAGACACTCAACTAGGTCCCACTCTATAGAGATTTTGTTGAACTTGACAATTCAGAATGAAAATATTGGTCCCAGTGTGATCTGTTCAGACATGTTTCACCATTATATAATATTAGTCTGAACATATAATCATCTGTTCTATAAACTGTGAAGTGTTATGTTTCTATCCCATAATTTATTATTAACAGCTCATTTCCTATCATGAAATGTGGTGACCATGTAATATGTCATCAGGTATTTTTTATTGTGAACTTTGAACCTCAATGTTTAGGTTGTGGGTGATGGTGAGAATCTCCATCTATTTGTTTAATTTGAGATACTTTGAGGACATGTTGTTAAGTAACAATGTAACATCGTGTCTTCCTTTGTTTTTTCTCTGTAATACTATTAGACAAAAACGTCACATTACTGTAGGTCTGTCAGTGTGTATGATATCGTGATTACCAACACTCGTCAAATTTCATGATACATCCAAGACCTATAACAAAATAATAATATACAACATTTGATATAGGTTTATATATAAGCCACTCTAAATCGTTTCACAGTACAGAGATTGCAATTAATACAATTAGCATATACATTAATCAATACAATTTTGAGGAATTCGCAGGAGCTGCCTTATCAGGCGCTAACTACTAGTCCTATGCCACCTGGCTAATATCTCCCTAATTAGCAGTGTATGGCTGTGTGTGTGCTAGAGATGTAATGTGTTCTGTTTGTAGTGGGACTGTGCTTCCAACGGCATCATTGATAGTGCCTCCTCACTTGAATGCTACAGCACAGATACCGCAACATCCACTCCAGACCAATTTATACTTCACCTGGGTTGTTGGAGTTTTGTGGGCAGGAGATAAATAATTCTCTTAATATATACGACGACTTCAGGAATCGAACCCCCGGCTGCCAACGTGGACAGCCTGAGTTTTTACCATTCGACCAATCCGCCCATAAACATACATCCAATTTAGGTCACTGTGACCTGTATTTTCTGCTTCAAACATTTTTTTACACTTTGCGTAGCTCCATTTCTTGGGTTAGTTTTCACTGTGTAGAGGAATGTTTTTACAGAATACCCGGGGTAAGGTGAGAGTCTTCACTGTGTAGAGGAATGTTTTTACAGAATACCCGGGGTAGGGTGAGAGTCTTCATTGCGTAGAGGAACATACCTGGAAACAAACCATTCTTGCTTGTAGGTAAAACTGTCTAATCCAACCTCTTGTTTATTCCTCCACCCTGTCTTCCATAGTAATATAATCCCATTTGTAATGGAAACTTACCAAATAAGATGGCAGGCCCTGTCTGATCTAACCAATAGTTGTGTCCCACTGGGATTCAGATTAAACAAGTTCCACTACCTGTTTTACCCCTGGTCTGAAGGCTACCTATCCAGGGCTTGATAACATCATCATTATTTCATTGATAGTTTTGAGTGTTCATAATGATTTAATACTTTTAGTGTTCAAATAATTTTACATCATGTTTACTACAGTGTATACCTCAATCTTTATGTTGGGAAAAACTCTTTCATCATATACATTTATGTAATTTTGTTTCAAAGTTTAGTTTACAATTTCCCGAAATGTGTCGATTATTTCAGTTTAAGCTATTTTGGAGCCACGGTAGTCCAGTGGTAGGACCGTGGGCTCGTGACCGAAGAGTTGCGGGTTCCCGCTAGGCCCGCAATGTGTTGTATCTGTGAGCAAGATACTTTACTCTGCTTGTTCCAGTCAACTCAACTGTAAATGAGTACGTGGTTGGGCAGTGGTGGAATTGTTGAATGCTAGCTGTTAGCGCCGAAATGGCAGCACCGGCTGTATGCTCCCCAGGGAGTTGATAAATGTATTGGCTGGTTGCAAAGGCCTTATAACCACGGATAATAATTTGGGAACCGCTTTGAGATGACCTACGAACTAGGTTGTGATAAGGCAGTATATAAGAACCTCCAATTATTATTATTTTATTATTATTATTATTTTGATGACCAATATCTTAATGATTATGATAAACTAGAATACTATTTTTCCAGGAGTTATGGCCCTTGAAACTTTTCAATTTCTACTTGAGGTTTTAGCACTATATCAAATGTTGATGTGTTGGCATATCCACAGAAATGCAATAGACAAGAATATACCCGGTTCAGGTACAGGAACTTATTTGGTACAATCACAATTTAGCACAAAATTTAAAGCACAAAGATGCTTAAATAAGACTACCGCTAATTTACAGTAGCCTGTACAAATCTCAAGGCAGTAGACTAAGTCGGTGTCAGAAATAATATTTGTCTTCTCCACTTTGTGTAGTATGTACTACATCAACTGATATCTTACCAATATTGTATTCCATGTTGATGTTTTGTGAGGAGACTGGGAGTAACTTGTTGAATAAAAAATACATTTTTTTGTAAAAAAAATCTACATTGTATGTTGGCATTGTCTTTTCAAAACAGAATCCTATAATTGTTCAATTGAGTGGAGTGTGTTGACATCCCATGTTAGGAACCATTAACTAACTTGAAAATTTTACATTCCTATACTATTGTGTATTGACTGAAGTTCATGTTATATTGATGGACAAACATGAATAATAATCTATTCCTGTTTACCAGGGGTTTGTTTTGTGGAACAGTTTTTACTCCACCTGGCATGAAGTGCCTGAGAGCTTGTTGTAGCAGCATCTGTCGCCTGCCTGAGAGCTTGCTGTATGGTGCAGCATCTGTCGCCTGCCTGAGAGCTTGTTGTATGGTGCAGCATCTGTCTCCTGCCTGAGAGCTTGTTGTATGGTGCAGCATCTGTCTCCTGCCTGAGAGCTTGTTGTATGGTGCAGCATCTGTCTCCTGCCTGAGAGCTTGTTGTATGGTGCAGCATCTGTCTCCTGCCTGAGAGCTTGTTGTATGGTGCAGCATCTGTCTCCTGCCTGAGAGCTTGTTGTATGGTGCAGCATCTGTCTCCTGCCTGAGAGCTTGTTGTATGGTGCAGCATCTGTCGCCTGCCTTCAACTTTTTTCTTTGAAGGACTTCTTCCTGAGAACTGAATGACCCAATGTCCTGACATTTAGCTAATAGGTGCCTTGGATTTAATGTTAAGTTTCTTAATATGAATGGCCTTGACCTACTTTTAAGGTCACATGGTCAAGTATGTTAAAAACATTTTCTTAATGACCACTTACAGTGCAATGATACTTGGATATAATATGGGAGCCAGCTGTGAGACTCTTTTTCTTTTATATTGTGTTTAGTCACAAGTCAACATTGAGCATTGACCAGAGTCAAAGTTATACTAAGTTGGTAAAAGGCTTCAGAAACCTTCCTCTTATGTTCCAAAAGGCCCAGGGTCTTGATATTTGGCCAGTAAGTACTTGGGTAAGAGCGCTATAAAATGTACTCGAATAAATTACCTTGACCTACTTTCAAATTCACAGGGTTCAAATATGTTCAATCTTAAAGCAAGTTTTCTTAAAGGTTCTGTGAAATGTACACATACAGATCTTGACCAGATTTGCTATGAAATGCTGGGTTAGGGATGAATATTTTGTGATATTGCCTCAATAACTAGGTGAGTGAAACAGTCCTTCTGTGAATCATTTTAGAAAAAAGTATTGGTGGTTCTTAACATGCTTTGTCAGTTCTGGGATCCTGGAAAATACTCTGGACTTGAGATCCAAATTTTAAACAAAAGTACAGAAATGTCCTTTAGAACTTCATTTTAATTTGGTGGGAAAAGTCTATACATAAAGTACCTATTAATATGTACTTAACATATAATACCCATTATTTGACATATACTGTAATACCCATTGATATGTACTTAACATATATTACCCATTGATATATACTATACATATAATACCCATTAATATGTACTTTACATATATTACCCATTAATATGTACTTAACATATAAAACCCGTTACTTGACATATACTGTAATACCCATTGATATGTACTTTACATATATTACCCATTGATATATACTATACATATATTACCCATTAATATGTACTTTACATATAATACCCATTAATATATAATTTCATGTAAATTTTTGAACATGCCACTGAAAAATTACACATAATCCCAGGAAATAGTCAAAAGAAACAAGAGGCCCATGGGCCTGAACAGTTACCGGAGTCCTACAGTATTTATTTTTGTTGTTGAAATATGTACCAATTTGAGTAAAAAATTGTTAAATATAACGTTAACTTAAGTTTGTCAGGACCATGAGCTGATCATTCCTAGACCGATTTTCAGTTAGATCGGCCTATCAAAACTTGTTTCTAAGTTTGAAATAGGTATTTTCAAAATAGCAGCCGTGGCGGCCATATTGGATTTCTGATCGACCCGAAAAATAACAACACTTTGTCAGGACCATGAGTCGATCATTCCTACCAACTTTTAGTTCAATTGGCCCAGCAGAACTTGACTCTAAGTTTGAAATAGATTTTCAAAATGGCGGCCGTGGTGGCCATATTGGATTTCTGATCGACCTGAAAAATAACAGCACTTGGTCAGGGAGATGTCAGTAACCTTCCCATGAAATATTAATGAAATCCCTTTGCCAGAATTTCAGCTTAAGTTGAAAATGTAAAATGTTAACGGACGACAGACGACAGACGAAAAGGATTACTCTATGATATTGGAATCGATCACCTCAGTGGTAGCTGTTCGACTGACAACTGAAAACAATGGAGGAAAAACTTGCAGCCATGAGTTAGTTGTGTCTTGGGATTGGAGCTCTTTTCCACAATCTTGTTCATATCGCTATTTTTTTTTTTTTTTTACACAAATGAAAGAAAAACCAATCATCAGTAAATCTTTTTAATGAAAATTATGATCCTTCGTGTTTTATTTATGCTATTTCAAATAAACATATCACTTGTAAAAATAACAGTCAAACATGGTCATTCATACGAGATTCATACATCATAACTAATTATACACACAACCATTTACCTTGCTTTCTTAACACTGATTCCTCAAAAACACAGTCACACTGTATTAACACTGATTCCTCAAAAACACAGTCACACTGTAGTAAAGTATAAAGTGTTTCCATTTTGCTGCCTTGTCGTAGTACACAAGTACACATTCTGTTGCCAGAGAGTGTAAACGTATGCACCTCTGTTACCAGGGTGTGTAAACGTACGCACCTCTGTTACCAGGGGGTGTAAACGTACGCACCTCTGTTACCAGGGAGTGTAAACATACACACCTCTGTTACCAGGGAGTGTAAACATACACACCTCTGTTGCCAGGGTGTGTAAACATACACACCTCTGTTGCCAGGGTGTGTAAACGTACGCACCTCTGTTACCAGGGGGTGTAAACGTACGCACCTCTGTTACCAGGGAGTGTAAACCTACACACCTCCTGTTACTAGGGAGTGTAAACGTACGCACCTCTGTTACCGGAGAGTGTAAACCTACACACCTGTTACCAGGGAGTGTAAACATACACACCTCCTGTTACTAGGGAGTGTAAACCTACGCACCTCTGTTACCGGAGAGTGTAAACCTACACACCTGTTACCAGGGAGTGTAAACATACACACCTCCTGTTACTAGGGAGTGTAAACCTACAGACCTCTGTTACCGGAGAGTGTAAACCTACACACCTGTTACCAGGGAGTGTAAACATACACACCTCTGTTACTAGGGAGTGTAAACCTACAGACCTCTGTTACCAGGGAGTGTAAACCTACACACCTTTGTTACCATAGAGATTTAAATATAGAGACTTCTTATGTAAATTTCATGCTGTTTATGTGTCTGCATTAATTTTTTCCCCAACAGGTATAATTGTGTACCTAACAAATGTGTCGGTATCAGAGCTCACAAAACTTCACCAACATGTAACATGCTTCTTGTGAACATGTAGAATGAACACAGCCCAATGTTTACAGTATTGTACACACTAACATTACACCCATCCTTATCTATTCCTGGGCCTTCTGTACTCCTCCCCACTGTTACGGTACCTGTCCTTTGATCTGTGTCGCTCCTCATCCTCGTGAAATTGTTTCCTGTTGTCTGCCTGGCGGTTGTCACTTCTATCCCTTTTCCTAACATCGTCCCTTCCCCGTTCTCGTTCATCATATCTGTTTCTATCCCCTCCCCTCCCATCCATCCTCTCGTTTCTACCCCGCTCCCTTCCCAAGTCCTCCCTGCCTTGGACCCTGCCGTGGACCCTCCCCCTGTCACTGCTTCTGTCTCTATTATTTATAAACTGATCCTCTCTGTTTGTCTGCTGCCTTCCTACATCCATCTCTCTATCCCTCTTACCCCTCTCCCTTTCATCTCCACCCTTTATCTCTCTATCCCATGGCCCCATGTCCCCCAGTCTCCCTCTATCATTATATCTGCTCTCACTTGTGCCATTGCTTGTCCTGTTGCCACTAGATGGAGCTCCGTCTCTTTGGCTCCACCTCCAGCCACTGTCAGCTAAAGCCTTATCGTACCCACGATCCACTTTTTCTGTTTTAACTTTCACATTTTTCTTGTCATTATCCATTGACTCTCCACCACTGTCACTAGAGACTGGCTTTGTGCTCTTCTCTTTCTTCTTTTTCTTCTCTTTCTTTTTCTTCGATTTCTTGTGTTTTTCTTTGAAATTAAAACAGATTTTATGATTTTCACAAATCACAAATGATGTCGTAAAGTCAAAATAATGAAAGTAATATTTGTACTGACTGTAACATTCTACTTGATAGTTGATTTTAAACTTTCAAGCAAATCAAGTAGACACCGTAGTACAGAACCTTCCGTTATGATTGCCACCCTTCCCCAATTCCTGTACAAACCCCCACACGGTTGTATTTTGTGAATGCATGTCCAGTTTAGAAGTTAAAGAGAAGGAATCTGTTATTCCTCCGATATCTAGAATTTACAAATCTAGCATTCCATATTTTAGTGTCATTTCACATTCATAAATAGAAATGCTGGTATTTCAAATTCCTTAAAAAAAGCGAATTTAAATACCGATATAAATATTGACCAGTGATCTGTAAGAAGATAGTAAAACCATTCAGTATCACCAGAAGTTGGTACTTAACAAGAATGTCGGATATTTCTCCTAGTTCAGTCCAATTTGAATCCAATGAAAGCATATTTTAAAGCTAAATTAATTCCACTCCAGGATATTTTCAGAGACTAAAGAATTTTGTAAAGGTAATGTGCAAACCTTTGACAAAGGACATGCACAAAACTAATATATAATGCCTTCAGATATAAAAGTAAAAACTGCCTAAACTTTTTCAAAGAAAAGTCCTGCGTTTTTTCCGACATTATCAAAAGCATTTCTGGTATACATTCTAAGGATACGAATGGTATGATGTGAAGCAAACTGTCTTTCTCTGTTTTGACCTTCAAAATCCCATACCGAGGGTCTGTACAGTGACCAGCAGTACAGTACATGGTGGCTGTGTGTGGTATAGGACAGTTACAAATTCAAGGGTTCTTGTCTTTTACCTGACCTCAACTTGCCCGGACAATATTTGTATCCTCAACCAAACATCTTACCTTTACTGTTAATCAAATCAACCAACAGCACTGTGAAGATACATGGCATTGGTCGATACTATTCAGTTCTGAAGCTATGCTCTGTTATTCTAGCACTGTTCTTTGTTCTACCACTGGTGATATTTCTTTGATACTGGCAAAACAACCATAGATATATTTATGGTTAAATGTTGCCAATATCAGCAGGAACATAGGATTATGTCAATTTATTTTCAATTCACCTTTTTTTTCTTTCTTCATTGATAAAATGAGATCGTCTTCCTCGTCTTCTTCTTCATCCTCGGACAGTTGCGGTGCACATCCCTCCGCCCGGAGTTTTTGTGTTGCCTCATCCTCGTCTCCATGTTCCTTGGGTTGTCTGTATCCTTCCACATGGTCTACACGTATCGTCCTGTTCAGTAACTGGTGAAAAAGAACAACTTTGTAAGTAGGGTACAACATAGACCTTATAGATAACACTAGTCACTGACAAAGCTAGATA